CCGAACACCTGGCTGCTTGTCCAAAGGCACTAGACGGCAAGCAACATAAGCTTCCAGTGAGATGGGGTCCACATACTTGGTAGCTATTCGACTGGCACAGGTAACCAGAACATCGCACAGTGCATCCGAGGCTGAGCGGAAGGAGGTAAAAATCTTTCGCCAGTTGGCTGCGTCCATGCCTGAAGGCCCGGCTGCACCATGCGTGCGCAGTGCAGCTTGGTGAATAACATCCCTATTGAGTGCCGTGAAGAGGACCGGATGTGGTTTTGGGCAGAGGCTCTCCATCCATAACTGCGTTTTCGTTTAGAGGCGATGCTGCTGGATGCTTCTCTCGAAGAATCTCTCGAACTGTGTGGTCACCTATTGTCAAGGCAATGCAGGTCGCCCTTACTGTCGCCGTCAAGCATACGTGTGGCAGAGCCTATCTTTCCATCCATGACCAAGGCGGCAAACGTCCTTGCTTCACCCTGATACTCGCTTGACTTCTCTGTCAGATACTTCTTCTTTCGTAATTTTCTAATTCCTGTCCTCTCTTTTCCAAATGCGGCTTATCCATTTGCCTTTATATCATTTGGTCTAGTTCCCGTTTATTTTGCGAATTAAAATAAACCAACCAACCAACTGTCCTCTTTTGCACGCTCTTCCCTGCTGAATCTGTTTGTAGCCTCTCGTATCTGTTGTTGGATTGTACTAGCTTCAGTCATACCAAGAATAAAGTAAAGCAGCACAGATTTGAAAACGTGTTATGAAAGGTCCGTGTTATTTTTCCACCGACCTTTTCCTGTAATAAGACGATACTGCCCGTAGGGTCCCCCTCTCGAATAGTAGCCCCCTACAGGGACTGTTTGAAAAAAAACACAAACTCCTCTCCAATAGAAGCCCGGACTACTATTTGCAAAGCATGGGGTGACCAGGTAGTGCCATGTATGAAGGTCAAATGCGCCAAAAAGCATCTCGTGTATGTTCATATTGGTACATGTCCTAGTCGACGTAGTCTGCGCATACTAACTCTGGGCTGAGTTGCTGTGAATATGAAAGTTTTAGAGATTCGATTGGAATACTGGTGTGGAATGATACAACGAAAGCCTCTCTCGAATAGAAGCCCCGTAAAAACAGAGAGAAAGAGAGAGAGAAATCCAAGAGAGAGAGAGAGAGAGAGAGAGAGAGAGAGAGATCCGAGAGAGAGAGAGAGACAGAGAGAGAGATATAGAGAGACAGAGAGAGGGAGAGACAGAGAGACTAACAAATGAGGGCTGAGACCGCAGGTAGTGTTGGTAGTGCTACATCCGGTTCCTGGTCTGAACGGTTGTCTGTAGTGTTCACTATTTCGCTCACAGGATGAGACTGCGACTGATGTAGGTCGCGCAGGAGTCTCACGTCTGCAGGTTCAGGGGCTGTCTGATTGGCCTGTTGAGCTTGGTCTTCCGCACGATCAAGCAGGTCCCATGCATGTTGTTGGGAGTTCGAAACTACGGTACGACTCGTACCTGCATCTGTTCTGGTCGGCAGTCGCGGGGATAGTGCCCCAGGCCCAGGTGATCTGAGAACGTGACGTACCGTTTGAACTCCTACGAGTACGGGGCTGCGCAAGGCAGGCGGTGGCGGCGCTGGAGGCGTGGCTGGAGATGGATTGTTTCGGCAACGGTTTTTTCTGAGCAGGGCAGCAATTCCGGCATTTACGTCCACTCTTTACACAGACACTGCCAACACAGGAGCCATTGCCGTTGCACCGGCAACACGGAGGGCCTCCCTGCATGGCGTGCGCTATCCAAGCTGAAGCTTGAGGTGCACAGCACGAGAATCCGGCCCAGAACTCAGTAGAAATCCGATAGCTTCAAAATTCGAGACTGTTCAACACATCAGCAAAAAACCGTAGGTCATCAAGGTGGTAGACGGTGTCGTATTACCCTCGACCGTACCTGTCCCGTACCGTACCATCAAAGACGGTTGGCCACAAACAGCTGGCCACAATATTCAAATAGGGGCTTTCAAATACAAGATCATAATGTGAAGCAACTTGGAAGAATTAGTATGTATGCGAAGTGTATCGGGGGGCGCATGCAGGGCGATAGTGCGGGTTCGAATCCCAGGTTATGTCTTAAAAGGAATTGGACAAATGAAAAATTTGCTATGCTTTTTTTTCCAAGGTCATCAAGGCAAAAAGGCGTAGCGTAGGGCCCTGACCTTCCAAGCTCTCTCGTTGACGTGCCATCTTGTTTCAAGAGTCAGAAAATAGGTGATTTATTCCCGTAGCTATGCAGAAGACATTACTTCAGTAACGTCTGGCGCTAGCCATGGTCCACACAGCTTTGATTTGGTGTTTGTTTGTTTGTGTGTTTGTGTGTTTGTGTCACGCCTGGCGCTATCCCGTATCTGTGCCGTACCGTACCGTACCATCAAACACAGCTGGCCACATACAGCTGGCCGCAATATTCAAATAGGGCTTTCAAACGCAAGATCATAACGTGAAGCAACTTGGAAGAATGGGGGAATGCATGTAGGGCGATAGTGCGGGTTTGAATCCCAGGTTATGCCTGAAAAAATAGGAGAATTGAAAAATGTAAAACATCCCTATGCTTTTTTGCCTAAGTCATCAAGGCGGTAGACGGTGTCGTATTACCCTCGACCGTACCTGTCCCGTACCTGTCCCGTACATGTCCCGTACCTGTCCCGTACCTGTCCCGTACCTGTCCCATACCTGTCCCGTACCGGTCCCGTATCTGTCCCGTACCTGTCCCGTACCTGTCCCGTACCTGTCCCGTACCGTACCGTACCGTGCCATCAAAGACGGCTGGCCACAATGCATATTCAAATAGGTCTTTCAAACGCAAGATCATAACGTGAAGCAACTTGGAAGAATTAGTATGTATGCGAAGTGTATCGGGGGATGCATGCAGGGCGATAGTGCGGGTTCGAATCCCAGGTTATGTCTTTAAAAAAAGGAGAAATTTATTCCCGTGCCTATACAGAAGACGTTACTTCAGTAACGACTGGCGCTAGCCAGGGTCCACACAGCTTTAATTCCCGTAGCTATGCAGAAGACGTTACTTCAGTAACGTCTGGCGCTAGCCAGGGTCCACACAGCTTTAATTTGGTGTTTGTGTGTGTGTGTGTTTGTGTCACGCCTGGCGCTATCCCGCATCTGTCCCGTACCGTACCGTACCATCAAACACAGCTGGCCACATACAGCTGGCCGTGATATTCAAATAGGGTTTTCAAACGCAAGATCATAACGTGAAGCAACTTGGAAAAACGAGTATGAATGCGAAGTGTATGGGGGAACGCATGTAGGGCGATAATGCGGGTTCGAATCCCAGGATATGCTTGAAAAAGAATAGGAGAATTGAAAAAATTATAACATCCCTTTTCTTTTTTTGCCGTCATCAAGGCGGTAGACGGTGTCGTATTACCCTCGACCGTACCTATCCCGTACCTGTCCCGTACCTATCCTGTACCGTACCGTACAATCAAAGACAGCTGGCCACAATGCATAATATGCATAATTTTTTACATATTTTTTACATATTTGAATATTATTCAAATAGGGCTTTCAAATACAAGATCATAACGTGAAGCAACTTGAAAGAATCAGTATGTATGCGAAGTGTATCGGGGGATGCATGCAGGGCGAGAGTGCGGGTTCGAATCCCAGGTGTTGTCTAAAAACAAAAAGTTGAAACTTTAATATAAGAATTTATAACATCCCTATGCTTTTTTTGACTAGGTCATCAAGGCAAAAAAGCATAGCGTAGGGCCCTGAGCTTCCAAGCTCTCTCGTTTGGTATTTGTGTCTTTGTTTGTTTGTTTGTGTGTTTGTTTCATGCCTGGCGCTATCCCGTATCTGTGCCGTACCGTACCGTACCATCAAACACAGCTGGCCACATACAGCTGGCCGCAATATTCAAATAGGGCTTTCAAACGCAAGATCATAACGTGAAGCAACTTGGAAGAATGGGTATGAATGCGAAGTGTATGGGGGAATGCATGTAAGGCGATAGTGCGGGTTCGAATCCCAGGATATGCCTGAAAAAAAAATAGGAGAATTGAAAAATGTATAACATCCCTGTGCTTTTTTGCCGTCATCAAGGCGGTAGACGGTGTCGTATTACCCTCGATCGTACCTGTCCCGTACCTATCCCGTGCTGTACCATCAAAGACGGCTGGCCACAATGCATATTCAAATAGGGCTTTTAAATGCAAGATAATAACGTGAAGCAACTTGGAAGAATTAGTAGGTATGCGAAGTGTATCGGGGGATGCATGCAGGGCGCGCGATAGTGCGGGTTCGAATCCCAGGTTATGTCTTTAAAAAAAGGACTTTTTTAAAGAATTTATAACATCCCTATGCCTTTTTTGTCTAGGTCATCAAGGCAAAAAAGCATAGCGTAGGGCCCTGAGCTTCCAAGCTCTCTCGTTTCTTTTTTGAATCAGTTGACATTCTACCTTCTCTCATGAGGTCTCTGATGGCCGAAACAGCTGTCAAAAGCATTTAAAATATTTGCAGTACTCCGAACCTCTTTTTGCTGTTGTGCGGAATGTTCGTGGTCGGCCGCAGAGCCCAGATGTGGTGGTGGCGAAGTGGACGTAGTAATTTATAGGTCCTTTTTCTTTACATGTTACATTTCATGATTTCATTGAAGATCATTCCCCTCACAAAAAGACCCATCAGGGATTGGGTACCTGAGTTTGGTTGGGTTGCGACGAGGGAGAGAATAGTGAATCTGCTCTCAATATATCAAGCTGATTGTTGTCGAACTTGATAAAACACTGCTTTACCTGCAGCTATAAACACAAATTCCTGTTGGTCAGCAAGGGTAATGGGTACATAATTAGAATCTGAAGGTGATGAGTCTTGGACATGGGAGTCCACTTGGACGGCTTTCAATGGGCCACTGTGTTGACAGTAGCCTGTGTACAGGCAATGTTCAGGTCGTTTTCTCTTTCCCTCTATCCATGTTCCTAACAGTTTAAATTATTTACTTTGCTTGTTTCTCTATCAGAAATGCCCAGCTCAAAAACACAAAATCTGATTGCACTCCCACACAGACGAGAGAAGGAACTTCCAGCATTCCAAGGCGGGCTCTTGACATCGCAGGAACGAGTGAGTCAAGATTTGCTTTGCTTTATCTTTCACCTGGGCCTTGTCCCTCACAAGCTTATGGAAGGAGGCGGAAGTTGGTAACAATAGAGGTGTGTCTAGTTACTGAGCAGATACTGGTTAAATAGAGCACTCCTACTAGCACGTCCAGGGTTTGTCCAAAGAGGTATGGAGCGGGTGCAAGCCGGTATAAGTCAAGTTCATTTGCGCATAGTTTTACATGTCAGCCGGTTGTGAAAAAACGGAATCTTCATCATGAACTCATCAGAATGGTGTGACAAGGCCAAATGTCTATGGCGGGACACTGGCCTGGAAAAAATCATATGCTTGGGCTATAGAACACCGGTTGGTTTCAGCTAAGTACAGTAAGGAGTTTTCTCAGTTGGTGAATTGTCGTCAAGCATTTTATTCCACATTCACTCGCAACGATAGAGCTCTTCTGCCACTCCACTCAAAGAGCAAACGTTGTTCATATGGCAAAGAAAAAGAGTTCAGGAAGAAGACTATTTGAATGTTTGCACAACATGTAAACGTCAGTGGCATGACCTGCGCACAGCGGCGCACACAGAGGTGAACACGCCAACTACAAAAGGTGCACTAAGACTATGTGGAGGTCTTAGAAGTCAAAATGGAAAACAGAAGTACTTAGCACCATTTTCATCATTTTCAACTTGAAAACAAGGATTTGCAAAATCTGTACGCCTGGTAACGCCCAAGGCTATACCCCTAGGATGTGTATAAAGATCACCCATAATAGCATAAAAGATGAATTTCTCGGACATCCTCTACCCTAGCAAATCCTCTTTGTTGCACATATCAATTGATTGGCTTCATACAAATTGAGAGGCTGACAACAGAGCTGATGCAAAGTTCATTTGAGCTGCATGATGAGGAGGAAGAGGTAACGATGAGCCCTGCAAAGATGCCCAGGAAGACTTGGCTACAACCAGAGCAAAGCACGAAGGTGAGTGACTGTTCTCTCTTTACTGCACACTCCAAAAAAAGGACTGCTACAACTGCACAGTTCAGCAGCTGGTACATGGCAAGAAAGAAAATAAAGGAAAAAAGATTCACAGACAGTTCGAACACAACGTAAAAGTCAGTCTGAGAGAACGATTATCAGGTAGAAGAAGGAGTGATATTGCCTTCACACAGAGCTGGAAGGTTCGATGGACTTCTCATGTGCTCTGGATGTCAGTCGTGAGTCGGTCCAGTGCCAAGTCAAAGCGATGGAAAAGAGTGAGCTCCAGTGTGGGGAGCAAACCCTTTCTTAATTCAGAATTATATATTAAAAGAGCATAACGCATCCATTATGACCAACAGCATAATGATCAAGATAATCTTGGGTATGTACAGTTCAGAATGGGCATTGTAGGAACTGGTAGGAACTGGTAGTGCATCTTTAATTGAAACGAGAGGATGCAAAGAGCTGAAGAAGTCATGTGATAACGTTACTACAATATGGATCATGCAAGTGGTTTGAAATTGTTCTGTATGTTTGCTGATTTCCTTTTCCCTTGTAGATGTCTGACGATCTTCTATCTGCATCACAACAAGGTGATCTGAAGAAGATCGCTGCACTTTTGGAAAGTGGAGCCGACGTCAACTGCCGTAGCCGTGACTGGGTAAACTAGCACAGGAAGATATCATGTATGGATCATTAGCTCTGATGCTAACTAATCACAACCAATTTATTATTTCCCTGAAGAGTAGCCAGGACGAGCAGAGTCAGTTTTTGGTTGATGCAGCCATACCATAGTCTTTGCTACTTTCTGTATAGAATAGTGGAAACACATGACATCCTCGGCAGCAGCCATGCATTGGTGGCCAAGCAGTTGATCCGGCAGTTGTCTGACCAACTGGGTCAGTTCCGCCGTTCCTGCTAGAGGATTTAAGTTGGTACAGGACCACAACAATAAAGTTACTAGCAGCACTTTTCTGCTGTGAGCATATCTAATAATAATATAATGCCTAGTGAACTTTCTCTGTCACTCAGCAAACTTGAAGTATCACGTTACTCCACTGTTAGGGGCGTTCGAACTCAAGAGGAGGTTTGGCGGAATGGGACTTTTCTCAATATTGCAGGGTCTGGTGACCCCGGCACTTTTCCAAGCTATTCTCCACCGGTTTCCATCGAACACATTGGCGCGAGGATCCTCCCAGTTATTGCATCGGTGCTTGGAAGTTTCCCGCCAGCTTTGCTATGTACATTTCCGTACACATATCCTGCTTCTGTGTGTGCACTAAGTTACATCTACTGAGCTTGGCATATACACTATCCCGGCACAGGTCGTCACTTGCTTGCGCATTGTTTAGAGCTGCTACGCTTTTTCTATGGTACTTTGCATTTAAATTCCGAAAACAGGGCCAATGGCAAGACCTGAAACTCCAGGTTTCTGGCCACTGTGGTCCTTAATATTTTGGAAATGGTTGCCAAGACTATTAACCACGGGGTAACAGAATTGATACATTCTCCCAAAAGAGGAACGCAACACAGTAAGGGATGCAATCTTGCTCAAATTGCGTGAAATACTCAAAAATTTATGCAATTGCAGCTGAAAGGAGTCATGTCGTGACCTGAACACAATTTGTATCCACGAGTGGACGTTAGCTCCCTTCCAGTGCCAAGGACGAGATAACTCGTCCTGAAACAACCACCTTGAATGGCCAAGGACGAGGTAACTCGTCACGCACACGGAGCATATGGAAAGGAGCATAGATCACGGTACAAATAGCTATAACTTCGGCCTCCCTACTTCAAATTCAACAAATGACGGCCCATTGGAAAGCTATTAAATGCAGCTTTCCAAAGCTGTATAATTCGAAATAGCGGGAGTAAAATACACAAGCGCCGAAGCTCGAAATTCGGGAAACGAGTGAATGTCAAATTTCAAGCGTGTGACTGTGATGCACTTTATGCTAGCTGTAAAGTTGACGAGGTGTTTGATCACGGGAGATTTCGAAGATCACAGCTCATGCGTGACATACACTAACATGAGCGCTAAAGAGCCTGATTCTGCTGGTGTTTGAATCATCGCTGTACATTGAGTGTGACTGCAAATCGCAAGAACGTGTCTCTGATTGTAGAATAGCACTACAAAGGCGCGTTGGAGCGGCTTTTGACACTAATGGCAATCATGCAATGTAAGCACTGTCTTGGACATGGAAATCCAGTGGAACGACCGGGAACGGCGCTCCCAATGTGTACAGAACGTTGCACGCAGTGCACATGTTGATCCGATGCGACCAGCGCACTGCATGTGTGTACCGTAGACTGCGCATACCAAGCCAAGGCTGCATGGGCAGCGCCCAGGGGCCGCTAGACGTGCCACCGGATTTCCATGTCCACGGCAGTACCAGACAAGTAGTACCATATGAACAAACTGTTGAATTCCACTCTGCATTGTTTTGCTTTGATTTACAATTGTGATTGAGATCTACACTCAGACTTTCCAAGAACTTTTTTCCTGTACTGTTGTTTCTTGCATGTGCTTCCAGTATGGCGGAACTCCGTTGCACAAAGCCGTCTGTTTCTGGAGAGGAATCGAGGTGTGTCAAGCACTGCTCGCTGCAGGGGCGGACTGTAACATCAAGAATACGGTAAAGAACCGGATTTAGAGTGCCATGACCCATGCTGATCCTGTTCTGCTTTACTCTGTAAAATTAACTGCTTCCAGCATGGCAACACTCCGTTGCACCATGCTGCCTGGGCAGAAAAAATCGATGTGTGCCAGCGCTGCTCGCTGCAGGGGCGGACTGTGACATCAAGAATGCGGTCAAGGACAGTATAATAGGGTGTCTGAGCCATGAGGATTATGGTCTGTGCTTACAATGTACTATCGATAAAAAAAAACGCGTGTGTTCCACAGACCCTCACAAAATTGGAATCCTTGCATGAAGGAGCAATTTTCAATCTACTGCCTCCTCAACACTGCAATGTGGCCAGATCTTTGCCCCAGGGTGTTGTGTCTATTTTGTTTTAATTGGCCTCACTCCCGTTGCGTACAAGATGTGCAAGATTGGCATATTCTTGAGAGACGCCATCACGCCAGAATCTTTCACCTGAGCAGGTGCAGGCGGTAAAATATTATGTTCCATCCATTACACGTATTAGCTGCTAGTATGTCGAAGTACAGGTAGACTCCGTCTAATTCGAACCTCAAATTGCCAGGCACTATATTCGAATTATTCGGAACTTCTAATTATCCAAAATGCAGTCCCATATACTGATATGTATGTCAAAATGCTCGAAATTGCGTGCTGATTATTTTTTCATATTTTATTTGCAACAACGAAACATAAAAAAATAAAAAAAATAAGGAAATTATCGTGTCCGTTCCAGAAGGGTACTCACGACGGCCGCTAACACCCGGTAAACCCTAGCGGCAGATGCAACGCCTAACAGTGGGCCGGGGGTGAGTGGATAAGTCTCACTACCACTGGCACAAGTGCCATAGGTGGTCATGAACAACGAAATGAGTTCATTTCACCAAAACACTGGATCGACATGAAGTCATTGGACACTATTTTCATCTTCTACTAAGTTCTAGTGAAGCAGTTTTCAATCGCTGCAGTTGTCCTGAAATGATTTCAATGCAAAAGAACAGCTCTGCCTTCTCTGCGTCATGAAAGCCCATCGGAGAGGAGCATGTCGTTCTGAAGAACGGAAGTGGAGCATAGGCATAGAGGATTTTTACGACTTCCAGTAGTTGTTCAGTCCTAAACTTCTTTGCGCATGAGCTGGCGCGGCATGACAAGCCATTGAGATCCGCGAAGGGAACCAACCACCTGGAAGAAGTCATCTTCAATCAAATCTTTGCACTTTGCCTTGCACAGGCTTGGATCAAATTTCGAGAGAATTTCGGTTTCTTCAACGCTATTGTCGACCCTGGAGCGGACCAGGGATCAATTTTTTGGAGTTACTCTTTTGGCTAGAGAAGAAGAAAAATGAACTTCGAATTATGAGTAGAGCAACTCCATCTCACTTCGAAATAAGCGTTCGAAGGACATAGTCACTGTACTGTAAACTGCTCTTCTGTACGAAGGCAGAGTTCGAATTATCCAGTGGGTGCACTTTTCGTACTTCGAATTATGCACTCGAATTTAACTTGAAGTGACTTGCAGAAGATCGGTACGAAGAAAAAGTTCGAATTACACGGAATGTTCGAATTATACCGTATTCTAATTAGAGGGAGTCTACCTGTACAAGAACTTGGAATGACTTCGGGAGGAGTAGAAAGGAGAACTTCGGGTGCATGATCTGGAAACCAAAAACAAAAAGTTGCACAAACTTGTTTCGAGAGCAAAGCACAAAACCAGGGAAGTTAGGGAGCATCTCATGAGTTCGCATCTATTTTGCAAACGTAACGCATTGCGAATAGACTTTACCCCCTACCTCCCCCCTGTATTCGAAAGTCTTATCGCACATTTTCTGTGTTTATCTACTGTACACGTCCATGCGGCCGCATGAGCACTCTGGCAAGGTACGTTCGGGCCTGATTGGAAATTTTTATTTCCATTGCTATCAGGTTCGGCCTCATTTCCTCTGTGCTGCGCTGACGAGTCCACAAAGGACGAAACAGTTCTGTCCGCAGATTGAGTATTTCGCTCCTGCTCTTGTAGCAGTTGAGCACTCTTGCGTGGGGTAGTGCCCTTGCTGTTTGCGTTATGCAGAGCTCACTGACTTGTCAGTTTGAGCACTCTGTCAAGGTACGTTCGGGCCTGATTGGAAATTTTTATTTCCATTGCTATCAGGTTCGGCCTCATTTCCTCTGTGCTGCGCTGACGAGTCCACAAAGGACGAAACAGTTCTGTCCGCAGATTGAGTATTTCGCTCCTGCTCTTGTAGCAGTTGAGCACTCTTGCGTGGGGTAGTGCCCTTGCTGTTTGCGTTATGCAGAGCTCACTGACTTGTCAGTTTGAGCACCCTGGCAAGGTACGTTCGGGCCTGATTGGAAATTTTTATTTCCATTGCTATCAGGTTCGGCCTCATTTCCTCTGTGCTGCGCTGACGAGTCCACAAAGGACGAAACAGTTCTGTCCGCAGATTGAGTATTTCGCTCCTGCTCTTGTAGCAGTTGAGCACTCTTGCGTGGGGTAGTGCCCTTGCTGTTTGCGTTATGCAGAGCTCACTGACTTGTCAGTTTGAGCACTCTGGCAAGGTACGTTCGGGCCTGATTGGAAATTTTTATTTCCATTGCTATCAGGTTCGGCCTCATTTCCTCTGTGCTGCGCTGACGAGTCCACAAAGGACGAAACAGTTCTGTCCGCAGATTGAGTAAATATTACTACTATTCGTCCACCGGCGGCTTGCGTGTGGGGCCCTTCTGCAGTGATGCACAGTCTAGTCAGTCAGTGCAGTCATGCTAGTTGACTTGGTACGGTGCACTGCGGGACTACTTGCGCGGTCTACAATATCTACTCGGGTCTATACGGCCAGTCACACTCACAGACTGTCAGTGTTTACTGCACTGTGAGTGTGACTGGCCGTGAACCATGTGAACTGAACTCCACTTGTAGACATTCTACGGTGCACTGCGGAACGACGAGCACACACGAAATACTAGTTGCACAAGGTGATGAGGTGCAGATTGACGGACTTACCTTCTATCTGACACTTGTAGTTTTCCTTTGACTTGTTGTTCGTCTTCTCTCTGACACTCGTAGTTATAATTATTGTAGGTAGGTCAGGGGCGTCGGAAGGAGTTTGACATTGGTGCGGCGAAAGTGAGAGAGGGGGGTCCGGGGGTTCTCCCCGCGGGAAAAAAATTGAAAATTGGGCCTAAAAGGCCATAAACGCTACAGAATAATATGAGAAATAAGAATATGCATGCTGATGATACACCGCATTGTCGATGTAAAACATGGTACCTGTACAAGTGTCGACAAGCCAACAACAAGGTTGAAATATTAAAAAAAAAACTTCGAAAATTATTGGTGCGGCTTTGGCCGCACCTGCCGCACCGGTTCCGACGCCCCTGTAGGTATCGTCTGACTGCCATGGCGTTTTCCAGGCAAGCAAGGTCTGGTGTGTGGACGTATTTTAATCGCGGTGTGGAGAGGCACACATGTAAACTTTGTAAAAAGACTTACTCTCGACAGAGCGGAACCAGCAACCTGTTCGCTCATCTGAAATTGGCTCACCCTTCAAAGTTCCAATTGGTTCACTCCTCGGGTGCGACTACTGAGTCAGATGTTAGCAATGCGTCATCGGTGGCAGCGGAGAAGCGCAGCAGCAGCAGCAGCAGCTTGTCGAGTTGGGTTGTGAACTCGGCAACTTCCACCAGTCGTCCCTGTTCGTCCGGTCGCTCCGAGGAGCCCGCCGACTTGATTCTTGATTGGATCGTGGACTCCACCAGACCACTGTCCATCGCTGGCGATCGTGGGTTTGTTGCTCTGATGAAGGTTGTGGAGCCTGCCTTCCCATTCCTGTCGCGAACTCATTTCAGTTCGCTGCTGCGCAAGCGCCATGAAATAGGGATCGCTGACCTGAAAAAGCTGTTGGAGAACGAGGGAGTGTGTGGCATAGACCTCACCACCGATGGATGGGCTTCTATGGCGACGCAGAGCTATGTCACATACACTGCACATTTTATTGACAGAGATTGGTCTCTGGTGAGCTGTGTCCTGCTGACTAACCAATTCCACGGCAGCCATACCAGTGTACAGCTGGCTGCACATCTGCTATCCGTTGTGGATGCTTTCGCCAACAAGTGAGCTGTGTGACTCACGATGAGGCCCGAAACATGGTTGCCACTGCAGCTATTTTGCGTGATGACGATATCGACAACCAGGTCTGCATGGCCCACATGCTGCAGACCGTCATCAGGAACGCCATCGACAAAACGAAGGGCCTGGACAAGTTGTTGGCTTGCAGTCGCAAACTGGTAGGGCACTTTAAACTTTCGTCTGTGGCGGCTGAGCACCTCAGCCTCAAGCAGTTGCAGCTCGACAGCGCCAAGCTGCCACTAACCATAGTCCAGCACGTGCCTACAAGGTGGAATTCCACCTTCTTCATGTTGAGCCGCCCCCTATAGCTAAGGACAGCATTGACTGTTGTGCTGTCGGACAGGAGCTGCACTCCAAAGAAAGAACACCGTGACCTTCAGCTGAAGGACCAGCAATGAGCCGCAGCTGAACCCCTGGTCACAATTCTGAAGCCGTTTGAGCTTGCCACCAAGATTGCCAGCGGGCAACCGTACGTCATGCTCTCAATAATGCTCCCCATCACCACAAAGCTGGCAACACGGCTTCAAATTTTGGTTGGCGAAACAGACTCCACCATGGCACGTTCATTTGCGACGAATCTACTTTCACGGCTGAAGGTGAAGTTCCGCCACGACAATTTGGATGTCCGGAGTCCGGGGGTCATGGCTAGCGCCTTGGATCCTCGGTTCCGGAACCTGAACTTCTTGGAGGTTGAACAGTGCATCCAAGTGCAGAAAGATCTCTGAACTGGCCAGCGAGAAGCTGCCCCCATGCCCGGCTTCTAGCGTTACTGAGTCAGCTGCGAAGAAGCCCTGTTTGAGCAGCCTTGCTCAACTGATGAGCACCACTGCGAACATCGACGATGGGCATGACGAGCCAGTTGATAACCTGGAAAAGGCAGAGCGACAGCTTGCTGTGTTCTTTACCGAGGAGCCAACAGGCATGGAGACTGATGTACTTGCCTGGTGGAAAGTGCACAGCGACCGCTTTCCGCTGTTGGCACCCGTGGCCAGGAAATTCTTGGCCATTCCTGGCTCGTCTGTGCCATCCAAATCCGTTTTCTCTGCTGCTGGTGCCATCGTTACGAAAACCCGCAGCCCCCTCCACCCTTCGAATGTTGACGCCTTGATCTTTCTGAGGAAGAACGTCATTATCCCCAGCTTGCACTGCTCGACACGTTTGCTGTCTGCAGCTGAGGAAGTCGCTGCTGACCTGATTGAGGCATCCACAGAGGAGCTTGCTGCAGAGCCTGCATTGCCATCAGTGTAACTGCTGCAGTTTTCGAAGTGCGTGTGTGTGTGTGAGTGTGTGTGTGTGCGTGTGAGTGTGTGTGTGTGTGTGTGTGACTGTGTGTGTGTGTGTGTGTGTGTGTGTGTGTGTGTGCTCATGTGTGTGTGTGTGTGTGTGTGTGTATGTGTGTGTGCAGGTGTGTGTGTGTGTGTATGTAGTGTGTGTGTCTGTGTGTGTGCATGCGTAACGTTACGGCCTGTATTGAATTGTGTACTTTGAAGTGTTTTGTGGCAGCTCAAATTAGAAAGGATCGTAAAATATCCCTTTGCAATCAACACATCACGTATAATGACATAATTATTACTTTATTGGAATTTGAAAAATAAATTCAAGTAACCATGACAATATTACATGTATTACGTGCGTGGAAATATGTCGCTAAGCCGATAAGCCGATCGTTATGATATCAGCTGAGCCACTAAGGAAATATCACGATCGTTTCAGCCCTACTCATTTTGTTCCTTGCGCCGCTCTATATGAACATATCAGAGACGTTATGAGTCTCCGACATGTTGACAGGGTGCATGGGCAACTCTGCTCAGCTTTGGCCCACGGCTGATTCAGTTGACGTGACTTTTCTGGAAATCATAAGTAATACCATACTAGACATGTACTACAAATCTGTGGACGTATGAACTTGGCCAGATTTCACTCTACAGTAAAACCTGGTGTAAGCGACCTCTGCTTTTAGCCACCATCTGCTTTTAACCAGCATTTTTCCATGCATGGACAGCTCTACAAGGAAACTGCACCTGCCTTGCGTGACTAGCGACCGTCTAATAGTGTACCAAATGCACACAGCGACCAAAAAATTGCCAGACCCATCAGGACGCAAACCCGGGACCTTGCTTGTCATGAGCATTGCTCTAAACATCTCTTGAAACTAGTTGCCATTTCTCACTTCCCTCCTGTGCGTTTGCTGCTTATCGTGTTCTTGTTTGTATTCGATTTGTTTTGTCCATTTTCTTTAACGTATTTTTGGGAACACAGCCCCATGCTGTGTGAACAGTCGTGTTGAGGAAAAATGCTCTAAATATGTGAGCTATGGGACCAGGTCGAACCCAGAAGGTGCTGACAAGTGTTTCACTCCGAATGCAGCTCACAACATATGCCACACATGCTGATGGCGCTTGGGTCTTTTCCCTCTCCCGGGGGACCAACCACGGTCAGTTTTCTGGAACGTACTACGAGAGGTGAAAGGAAGTGTTTTGTGAGCCTTGCTCATGAAAAACAATGTCCCGGATTTGAGCCCTGGTGGGTCTGGCATTTTATCTCCTTTCAGGCAGTTCACTTCCCTGTCTGATCCTTTGAAATCCCTTTGAGTGCCTGGCCAGATGCACGCGGTTAGCCGGGCCATTTTTTTGTAATTAGTCGTATCAACTCAAACCGACTTGTTGTCCTGCGCTGGCGCAGCTTGTGCTGCTGCGCCCTGCTCAAACTCGACATCGACACTTCCGATATCCTCAGGGCCGTCCAAGGCGAACACGGCAGTAGGTACGACATTGATCACGGCAGACTTGGTTGCGAAATTTGTCACGATCGCGGACGGCTACGTCCGCATTCGAGTCATCGCCTTCACTAACGCAGCTCCAGTCATCACTGTCCGAGTCCATGATGGACTGGAGCACCTCTTCAGCCGACATGAAAGGTGGTTCTTGACCAGGGAGTTGTACGACTCCTTGTTCTTGACCTGCCCGGTACGCGAACCCCGTCGAATTTATCTATTTATTTTTATAAGACAGTAACACCGTATGAGGTATGTACTACGAATGTGCAGCCGCGTGAATAGGCTGGGTTTCAATAAACCTGCATTACGAGTACGATATCAAATTATACATGGAGAATAAAAGGCAAAAAAATCCATTTTGAAAGTGTCAGAAGCACAAACTCCAAAATTGCCGCTGAATCACCCGGGGAGGGATCAGATTAAGGCAGCGATACAATTCTTTTCACCGAATTGCGACTTAAAGCGCAAAACTGGTACCATGGACCAGTTCCGATCACATCACTGCACTTGCATATGTGTACGTCTAGCTGCATTCGTACCGCATCATGGGCGTTGATCCAATTTGTACAACGACACAATGATCCGACAATATGAAATACACTCATAACTTGTTTATCCGGGCACTACCCGTAACTTCAAAATGTCCGTTACCCCGAATGACATACATTTTGACGGGGAATGGCCATAAATATGGCGTATGTTGTCACTATTTCCAGAAAAATTGCCAAAAGAGTAGTATCATTTCCACTGAAACTCAACCAAAGGGTGTTTGGTAGCCTGAAATGCCCGTAACTTTGGGGTCTGGATAACCGAGGTATAAGTGTACATGTATGTCTGTACACTAATGGCAATCATGCAATGTAAATACCAGACAAGTAGTATCATATCCACCAACTGTTGAATTCCACTCTGAATTGTTTTGCTTTGATCTACAGTTGTGATTGTGATCTACAATCAAACTCATTGAGAACTTTTTCCTGTACTGTTGTTTCTTGCGTGTGCATCCAGCGTGGCGACACTCCGTTGCACGATGCCGCCAATAGTGGTGAACTCGATGTGTGTCAAGCGCTGATCGCTGCAGGCGCGGACTGCAACATCAAGAATGAGGTAAAGCACAGTGACATTGAGTGTCATGAACCAGGATGATCATGTTCTGTGTTTGCACTGTACAATTAACGTGCAAACAAAAGAGTAGTATCATTTCCACTGAAACTCAACCAAAGGGTGTTTGGTAGCCTGAAATGCCCGTAACTTTGGGGTCTGGATAACCGAGGTATAAGTGTACATGTTTGTCTGTACACTGATGGCAATCATGCAATGTAAATACCAGACAAGTAGTACCATATCCACCAACTGTTGAATTCCACTCTGAATTGTTTTGCTTTGATCTACAGTTGTGATTGTGATCTACAATCAAACTCATTGAGAACATTTTCTGTACTCTTGTTTCTTGCGTGTGCATCCAGGATGGCGACACTCCGTTGCACGATGCCGCCAATAGTGGTGAACTCGATGTGTGTCAAGCGCTGCTCGCTGCAGGCGCGGATTGCATCATCAAGAATGAGGTAAAGCACAGTGACATTGAGTGTCATGAACCAGGATGATCATGTTCTGTGCTTGCACTGTACAATTAACGTGCAAACAATCATCTGTTCCTTGACCTTTATCCGAGTGGAATCCTGTCCTAACCCGAAAATTCTCATCTACTGCCTCCTCACCCCATCAATGTGTGCAAGTCTTTGGCCCAGTTTGTTGTGTCTATTGTTCTCAAAATCGGTCACGCTCCCATTGCTTGGTATAGTGTAGAGAAACGCCATCATGCCAGAATCTTTCACCTCAGCAGGTCCTGACAGAACAATAATGTTCCATCCATTACACGTATTAGGGGCTAGTATGTCGAAGTACAAAAACTCGAAACGACTTAGGGAGGAGTATGCAGGTGAACTTCAGGCACATGAGCTGAAAACAGAAAAGTATTCCGAGCTACATGTATATTGTATCTTACATTGCCACAGGCTAGTGCAGCACAGTCTCCATTCTCGTGATTAGTAGCAAGAGTGCATAAACAAGAGAATGCAACTGTGGATATGGGTCAGTGCGCGGCTCTCTGCCTTTCTTACGTAACTTACCACGCTCTGAAAGTATGCACTGAAACCCAAACAGTGAGCAAGTACGGTTGTGAGTGTTGAAATCCGAACTAATAAAGTGCAAAGCTGTCACCCTGGACCAGTTCAGATTACATCACTGCACTTGCATATGTGCATGTCTAGCCACATTCCTACCACATCCTGGGCGTTGATCTAATTTGTATAACATCACACTGATAAGAAAATGACACACATGTATGTCTGTACACTAATGGCAATCATGCAATGAAAATACTGTCTTGTCTTGGACATGGAAATCCATGCGAATGACCGGGACAGGCGCTCTCAGTGAGTACAGAACGTTGCATGCAGTGCACATGTTTATCCGATATGACCAGCGCACTGCATGTGTGTACCGTAGACTACGCATACCGAATCAAGGCTGCATGGACAGCGCCTAGGGACCGCTAGACGTGCGACCGGATTTCCATGTCCACGACAGTACCAGACAAGTAGTACCATATCAGCCAATTGTTGAATTCCACTCTGCATTGTTTTGCTTTGATTTACAATTGTGATTGTGATTTACACTCAGACTTCTCAAGAACCTTTTCCTGTACTGTTGTTTCTTGCATGTGCTTCCAGGGTGGCGAAACTCCGTTGCACAAAGCCGTCTGGAGTGGAATCGAGGTGTTTCAAGCGTTGCTCGCTGCAGGGGCGGACTGTAACATCAAGAATATGGTAAAGAACCGGGTTTAGAATGCCATGAACCATGCTGATCCTGTTCTGCTTTACTCTGTAAAATTAACTGCTTCCAGCATGGCAACACTCCGTTGCACCATGCTGCCTGGGCAGAAAAAATCGAAAATATCGTGTCCGTTCCAGAAGGGTACTCACGACTGCCGCTAACACCCGGTAAACCCTAGCGGCAGATGCAGCGCCTTACAGTGGGGGTGAGTGGATAAGTCTCACTACCACTGGCACAAGTGCCATAGGTGGTCATGAACAACGAAATCAGTTCATTTCACCAAAACACTGGATCGACATGAAGTCATTGGACATTATTTTTATCTTCTATTAAGTTCTAGTGAAGCAGTTTTCAATCGCTGCAGTTGTCCTGAAACGATTTCAACGCAAAAGAAGAGCGCTGCCTTCTCTGCGTCATGAAAGCCCGTCGGAGAGCAGCACGTCGTTCTGAAGAACAGAAGTGGAGCATAGGCATAGACAATGTTTACGACTTTCAGTTGTTGTTGAGTCCTAAACTTCTTTGCGCATGAGCTGGCGCGGCATGACAAGCCATTGAGATCCGCGAAGAGAGCCAATCACGTGGAAGAAGTCGTCTTCAATCAAATTTTTGCACTTTGCCTTGCACAGGCTTGGATCAAATTTTGAGAGAAGGTGGGTTTCTTCAACGCTATTGTCGATCCTGGAGCGGACCAGGGATCAATTTCTGAGTTACTCTTGGCTAGAGAAGGAGAAAAAATGAACTTCGATTTACGAGTATAGCAACTCCATCTCACTTCGAAATAAGCGCTCGAAGGACATAGTCACTGTACTGTAAACTGCTCTTCTGTACGAAGGCATAGTTCGAATTATCCAGCGGGTGCACTTTTATTCGTACGTCGAATTAGGCATTCGAATTTAACTTGAAGTGACTTGCAGAAGATCGGTACGACGAAAAAGTTCGAATTACACGGAATGCTCGAATTATACCGTATTCGAATTAGAGGGAGTCTACCTGTACAAGAACTTGGAATGACTTCGGGAGGAGTAGAAAGGAGAACTTCGGGTGCATGATCTGGAAACCAAAAAGCAAAAAGTTGCACAAACTTGTTTCGAGAGCAAAGCACAAAACCAGGGAAGTTAGGACTTCTGCAAGTTGCGTTTCTCATTTTGTTCCTTGCGCTGCTCTATATCAACATATTAGAGACGTTATGAGTCTCGGACATGTTGACAGGGTGCATGGGCAACTCTGCTCGGTTTTGGCCCACGGCTGATTCAGTTGACGTGACTTTTCTGGAAATCATAAGTAATACCATACTACACAGAGTCATCTGGTTTAACCCGCCGTACAGTACCACGGTCAAAACCAACGTTGGCGCAAAGTTTCTATACCTCGTCAAGAAACACTTCCCTGAAGGGTCGGCGCTACACAAGGTGTTTAACAAGAACACAACAAAAGTAATCTACAGCTGTATGAAGAACGTAGCGTCGATTATCAAAGGGCACAATGCTGCAAAACTTCACTCGCGACCGCCAGTTGTGCCATGCAATTGTCGGGTCAAGGCGTCGTGCCCCCTCAACGGTGACTGCCAGTCTTCCGACGTCGTGTACCAGGCGCATGTAGCATCCAACGAAGTCAAGACCTACGTCGGCATGACTGCTACCACATTCAAGCAGCGCTACAACAAACACACTTCGGACTTCCGCCATGAAAAGTACGCCGCATCGACTAAGTTGTCCAAGCACATCTGGGATCTGAAAAACGAGAACCGCGGATTCGACATCAGATGGGAGATCAAGGATAGAGCACCTTCGTACAGTAACATCAGCAAGAAGTGTGGCCTATGCTTAACCGAAAAGTTCCACATCCTGAAAGCTTCAAAGGTTACCTCCCTAAACAAGAGAAGTGAGCTGGTATCTAAATGCCCTCACCAGCGCAAGTTTCTGCTGGCCACCCCTATTACATAGACAGCTATGACCGCTGCGGGTTTTTTTGACGCGTGATTGCAGGAGTTTGTGTGCGCTTAGATTTGTCATACGAATGCAAATGCCTGTGTATACGTGTGGACATGTGTCTATAGGTGTGTGTATATGCGTGTGTGCGTGTGTTTGTGCGTGTGCGAGTTAGGGTGTTGTGGGTGGGTGGGTGTCCTGTGTGTGCGTGCGCCAGTGTGCAAGTTAGGGTGTTGTGGGTGGGTGTATGTGTGTGTTAGTGTGTGCGTGTATGTGTGTGTGGGTGTTACTATGTGTGTGCGTGTTAGTATGTGTGTGTGTGGTGTGTGAGCGAGATTAAGCGCGTACTTGTTAGTGCTAGACCTGCGCCTACTGCATCTGCCTCTGAAATAGCCCGTCCCTGTATACATTCACGCGATTACTCCTCTCGCTATCGTATTATCACACCTCTCTCCACTTAGATATACCAGCGCTGCCTCCTATTCCATTATCGTTGTCTGATGATTGGTTCAGCCATGAAACTCTGAGTCACAACGGAATAAATTTGCCAAGGTTTTCATTGTGTGCCTTTGTGTAATACCATACTAGACATGTACTACAAATCTGTGGACGTATGAACTTGGCCAGATTTCACTCTACAGTAAAACCTGGTGTAAGCGACCTCTGCTTTTAGCCACCATCTGCTTTTAACCAGCATTTTTCCATGCATGGACAGTTCTACAAGGAAACTGCACCTGCCTTGCGTGACTACAGTGCATTTCAAAACTATAGACGCGTAGGGTTTTTGAAATATTTCAAATTTGGCTGGAACTTTTTGAGAATAGTTTTCGGAATATTGCTCAGGATCGCTCCACAATTACTCTCATATAGTTTCTAAAGGATTGGATAACAGACGCCCAATTTGGAAAAATTTATGCACAAAGTGATCACAGATTTTATGTGGTATAGATGCTGGCATAACGGTTTTTGCCTAGGTACGCGTCTATAGTTTTGAAATGGACTGTAGTGACCGTCTAATAGTGTACCAAATGTTATATTGGACCTGCACACAGCGACCAAAAAATGCCAGACCCACCAGGACGCACACCTAATGAAAATACTGTCTCGGACATGGAAATCCAGTCGAATGACCGGGAACGGCGCTTTCAATGTGTACAGACCGTTGCATATCGTGCACATGTTGATCCGATATGACCAGCGCGCTGCATGTGTGACTATGCGTACCGAATCAAGGCTGCATGGACAGCGCCCAGGGACCGCTAGACGTGCGACCGGATTTCCATGTCCACGACAGTACCAGACAAGTAGTACCATATCAGCCAATTGTTGAATTCCACTCTGCATTGTTTTGCTTTGATTTACAATTGTGATTGTGATTTACACTCAGACTTCTCAAGAACCTTTTCCTGTACTGTTGTTTCTTGCATGTGCTTCCAGGGTGGCGAAACTCCGTTGCACAAAGCCGTCTGGAGTGGAATCGAGGTGTTTCAAGCGTTGCTCGCTGCAGGGGCGGACTGTAACATCAAGAATATGGTAAAGAACCGGATTTAGAGTGCCATGAACCATGCTGATCCTGTTCTGCTTTACTCTGTAAAATTAACTGCTTCCAGCATGGCAACACTCTGTTGCACCATGCTGCCTGGGCAGAAAAACTCGATGTGTGCCAGCGCTGCTCGCTGCAGGGGCGGACTGTGACATCAAGAATGCGGTCAAGGGCAGTATAATAGGGTGTCATGAACCATGATGATTATGGTCTGTGCTTACAATGTACTATCGAGAAAAAACAACTCATGTGTTCCACAGAACCTCACAAAATTGGAAACCTTGCATGAAGGAGCAATTTTCAATCTACTGCCTCCTCAACACTGCAATGTGGGCAGATCTTTGCCCCAGGGTGTTGTGTCTATTTTTTTTAATTGGCCTCACTCCCGTTGCGTACAAGATGTACAAGATTGGCATATTCTTGAGAGACACCATCACGCCAGAATCTTTCACCTGAGCAGGTGCAGGCGGTACAATATTATGTTCCATCCATTACACGTATTAGCTGCTAGTATGTCGAAGTACAGGTAGACTCCCTCTAATTCGAACCTCAAATTGCCAGGCACAAAAATTCGAATTATCCGGAACTTCTAATTATCCAAAATGCAGTCCCACGTACTGATATGTATGTCAAAATGCTCGAAATTGCGTGCTGATTATTTTTGCACATTTTATTTGCAACAACGACACATAAAAAATAAACAAATAAAGGAAATTATCATGTCCGTTCCAGAAGGGAACTCACGACGGCCGCTAACACCCGCGAAACCCTAGCGGCAGATGGAGGATCTAACAGTGGGGGTGAGTGGATAAGTCTCACTTCCACTGGCACAAGTGCCATAGGTGGTCATGAACAACGAAATCAGTTCATTTAACCAAAACACTGGATCGACATGAAGTCATTGGACATTATTTTCATCTTCTACTAAGTTCTAGTGAAGCAGTTTTCAATAACTGCGGGTTGTCTTGAAACGATTTCAACGCAAAAGAACAGCGCTGCCTTCTCTGCGTCATGAAAGCCCGTCGGAGAGCAGCACGTCGTTCTGAAGAACGCAAGTGGACCATAGGCATAGACAATTTTTACGACTTTCAGTTGTTGTTCAGTCCTAAACTTCTTTGCGCATGAAGCTGGCGCGGCATGACAAGCCATTGAGATCCACAATGGGAGCCAACCACCTGGAAGAAGTTGTCTTCAATCAAATCTTTGCACTTTGCCTTGCACAGGCTTGGATCAAATTTCGAGAGAAGGTGGGTTTCTTCAACGCTATTGTCGATCCTGGAGCGGACCAGGGATCAATTTCTGAGTTACTCTTGGCTAGAGAAGGAGAAAAAATGAACTTCGAATTACGAGTAGAGCAACTCCATCTCACTTCGAAATAAGCGCTCGAAGGACATTGTCACTGTACTTTAAACTGCTCTTTCTGTACGAAGGCAGAGTTGGAATTATCCAGCGGGTGCACTTTTTTTCGTACTTCGAATTATGCATTCGAATTTAACTTGAAGTGACTTGCAGAAGATCGATACGACGAAAAAGTTCGAATTACACGGAATCCTTGAATTATTCCGTATTCGAATTAGAGGGAGTCCACCTGTGCAAGAACTTGGAATGACTTCGGGAGGAGTAGAAAGGAGAACTTCGGGTGCATGATCTGCATATCAAAAAGCAAAAAAGTTGCACAAACTTGTTTCGAGAGCAAAGCACAAAACCAGGGAAGTTAGGACTTTTCCAAGTTGCGTTTCTCATTTTGTTCCTTGCGCTGCTCTATATCAACATATTAGAGACGTTATGAGTCTCCGACATGTAGACGGGGTGCATGGGCAACTCTGCTCGGTTTTGGCCCACGGCTGATTCAGTTGACGTGACTTTTCTGGAAATCATAAGTAATACCATACTAGACATGTACTACAAATCTGTGGACGTATGAACTTGGCCAGATTTCACTCTACAGTAAAACCTGGTGTAGGCGACCTCTGCTTTTAGCCACCATCTGCTTTTAACCAGCATTTTTCCATGCATGGACAGTCCTACAAGGAAACTGTACCTGCCTTGCATGACCAGTGACTATCTTTCAGTGTACCAAATGCCATATTGGACCTGCACACAGCGACCACCAAAATGCCTGACCCATCAGGACGCAAACCCAAAAGAAAATACTGTCTTGGACATGGAAATCCAGTCGAATGACCGGGACCGGCGCTCTCAGTGAGTACAGAACGTTGCATGCAGTGCACATGTTGATCCGATATGACCAGCGCACTGCACGTGAGCACCGTAGACTAGGCGTACCGAATCAAAGCTGCATGGACAGCGCCCAGGGACCGCTAGACGTGCCACCGGGTTTCCATGTCCACGGCAGTACCAGACAAGTAGTACCATATAAAACAATTGTTGAATTCCACTCTGCATTATTTTGCTTTGATTTACAATTGTGATTGTGATCTGCACTCAGACTTCCCAAGAACTTTTCTCCTGTACTGTTGTTTCTTGCATGTGCTTCCAGTTTGGCATCACTCCGTTGCACCGTGCCGCAACTATGGGTAGAATCGACGTGTGTCAAGCGTTGCTCGCTGCAGGGGCGGACTGTAACATCAAGGATCTGGTAAAGAACCGGATTTAGAGTGCCATGAACCATGCTTATCCTGTTCTGCTTTACTCTGTAAAATTAACTCCTTCCAGCATGGCAACACGCCGTTGCACCATGCTGCCTGGGCAGAAAAAATCGATGTGTGCCAGCGCTGCTCGCTGCAGGGCCGGACTGTGACATCAAGAATGCGGTCAAGGACAGTATAATAGGGTGTCATGAACCAAGAAGATTATGGTCTGTGCTTACAATGTACTATCGAGAAAAAACAACTCATGTGTTCCACAGACCCTCACCAAATTGGAAACCTTGCATGAAGGAGCAATTTTCAATCTACTGCCTCCTCAACACTGCAATGTGGGCAGAAGGTCGGTTTCTTCAACGCTATTGTCGATCCTGGAGCGGACCAGGGATCATTTTTTTGGAGTTACGCTTTTGGCTAGAGAAGAAGAAAAATGAACTTCGAATTATGAGTAGAGCAACTCCATCTCACTTCGAAATAAGCGCTCGAAGGACATAGTCAATGTACTGTAAACTGTTCTTCTGTACGAAGGCAGAGTTCGAATTATCCAGCGGGTGCACTTTTCGTACTTCGAATTATGCATTCGAATTTAACTTGAAGTGACTTGCAGAAGATCGGTAAGACGAAAAAGTTCGAATTACACAGAATGCTAGAATTATACCGTATTCGAATTAGAGGAAGTCTACCTGTACAAGAACTTGGAATGACTTAGGGAGGAGTAGAAAGGAGAACTTCGTGTGCCTGATCTGGAAACCGAAAAGCAAAAAGTTGCACAAACTTGTTTCGAGAGCAAAGCACAAAACCAGGGAAGTTAGAGAGCATCTCATAAGTTCGTATTTATTTTGCAAACGTAACGCATTTCGAATAGACTTTACCCCCCCCCCCCTACCTCCCCCCTCTATTCTAAAGTCTTATCGCACATTTTCTGTGTTTATCTACTGTACACGTCCATGCGGCCCCATGCTATGGTATGCTTATGTACATGATTGTACATGTACATGTACATGGATATGAATGTTTTGCTAGAGCAGTCGTGAATGGCATACAGTAGTACCGCATTTACTGCGTACAAGTACAATCAATGACATGTACACGCACATAAACATAGTTCCTCCACAACAACTGTACTGCTGTAAACGCTGGCCAGGCACATGTACACGGTTTGGTCAGGCTGGTGTGATATTTGACACCTCTGAGTAGCCTGCATGCATGTAGTGCAAGGGTTAGCTGATCTGCAAACACAGGTAGATCTCCACCAAAAAACACTCATTTGCTGCAGGGATCTAGCACGGTAGTAGATTGTACAGTTCCAGGAAATGTGCGAAAAGTCATTTTTATATTCGAAAAGGCCGCTACCCCCTTACCCCCATTTCTAAATGCATTATGTTTAGAAACAAAATGCGAACTTATGAGATGCTCCCGTAGGACTTCTGCAAGTTGCCTTTCTCATTTTGTTCCTTGCGCTGCTCTATATCAACATATTAGAGACGTTATGAGTATCCGACATGTTGACAGGGTGCATGGGCAACTCTGCTCGGTTTTGGCCCACGGCTGATTCAGTTGACGTGACTTTTCTGGAAATCATAAGTAATACCATACTAGACATGTACTACAAATCTGTGGACGTATGAACTTGGCCAGATTTCACTCTACAGTAAAACCTGGTGTAAGCGACCTCTGCTTTTAGCCACCATCTGCATTTAACCAGCATTTTTCCATGCATGGACAGTTCTACAAGGAAACTGTACCTGCCTTGCGTGACCAGTGACCGTCTAATAGTGTACCAAATGGCATATTGGACCTGCACACAGCGACCACAAAATGCCAGACCCACCAGGATGCACACCTAAAGAAAATACTGTCTCGGACATGGAAATCCAGTCGAGTGACCGGGAACGGCGCTTTCAATGTGTACAGACCGTTGCATATCGTGCACATGTTGATCCGATATGACCAGCGCGCTGAATGTGTGACTATGCGTACCGAATCAAGGCTACATGAACAGCGCCCAGGGGCCGCTAGACGTGCCACCGGATTTCCATGTCCACGGCAGTACCAGACAAGTAGTACCATGTCAACCAATTGTTGCATTCCACTCTGCATTGTTTTGCTTTGATTTACAATTGTGATTGTGATCTACATACGGACTTCCCAAGAAATTTTTTCCTGTACTGTTGTTTCTTGCATGTGCTTCCAGTTTTGCAGCACTCCGCTGCACCATGCCGCCATGAAAGGCAGAATCGAGGTGTGTCAAGCGTTGCTCGCTGCAGGGGCGGACTGTAACATCAAGAATACGGTAAAGAACTGGATTTAGAGTGCCATGAACCATGCTGATCCTGTTCTGCTTTACTCTGTAAAATTAACTGCTTCCAGCGTGGCAACACTCCGTTGCACCATGCTGCCTGGGCAGAAAAAATCGATGTGTGCCAGAGCTGCACGCTGCAGGGGCGGACTGTGACATCAAGAATGCGGTCAAGGACAGTATAATAGGGTGTCATGAACCATGATGATTATGGTCTGTGCTTACAATGTACTATCGAGAAAAAACAACTCATGTGTTCCACAGACCCTCACAAAATTGGAATCCTTGCATGAAGGAGCAATTTTCAATCTACTGCCTCCTCAACACTGCAATGTGGGCAGATCTTTGCCCCAGGGTGTTGTGTCTATTTTTTTTACTTGGCCTCACTCCCGTTGCGTACAAGATGTACAAGATTGGCATATTCTTGAGAGACGCCATCACGCCAGAATCTTTCACCTGAGCAGGTGCAGGCGGTACAATATTATGTTCCATCCATTACACGTATTAGCTGCTAGTATGTCGAAGTACAGGTAGACTCCCTCTAATTCGAACCTCAAATTGCCAGGCACTAAATTCGAATTATCCGGAACTTCTAATTATCCAAAATGCAGTCCCATGTACTGATATGTATGTCAAAATGCTCGAAATTGCGTGCTGATTATTTTTGCACATTTTATTTGCAACAACGACACATAAAAAATAAACAAATAAAGGAAATTATCATGTCCGTTCCAGAAGGGAACTCACGACGGCCGCTAACACCCGCGAAACCCTAGCGGCAGATGGAGCGTCTAACAGTGGGGGTGAGTGGATAAGTCTCACTTCCACTGGCACAAGTGCCATAGGTGGTCATGAACAACGAAATCAGTTCATTTAACCAAAACACTGGATCGACATGAAGTCATTGGACATTATTTTCATCTTCTACTAAGTTCTAGTGAAGCAGTTTTCAATAACTGCAGTTGTCCTGAAACGATTTCAACGCAAAAGAACAGCGCTGCCTTCTCTGCGTCATGAAAGCCCGTCCGAGAGCAGCACGTCGTTCTGAAGAACGGAACTGGAGCATAGGCATAGACAATGTTTACGACTTCCAGTTGTTCTTCAGTCCTAAACTTCTTTGCGCATGAGCTGGCGCGGCATGACAAGCCATTGAGATCCGCGAAGGGAGCCAACCACCTGGAAGAAGTTGTCTTCAATCAAATCTTTGCACTTTGCCTTGCACAGGCTTGGACCAAATTTCGAGAGAAGGTGGGTTTCTTCAACGCTATTGTTGATCCTGGAGCGGACCAGAGATCAATTTTTGAGTTACTCTTGGCTAGAGAAGAGAAAAATGAACTTCGAATTACGAGTAGAGCAACTCCATCTCACTTCGAAATAAGACCTCGAAGGACATACTTCCTCCGTATACAAAAACTTTACTTTTTTTTGAAGGCTGCGAACAGCTCTGGAATTGTTTCATTTGACTTGGAATAACACTCGTGGCATTGTCTAACCTGTTTACAAGCTATATACAAAGAAAAAAGCAACTCAGACGAATGAGATTGAGTTTATTCAGAGTCCTTGTCGCTCCTGTCATTGTCACCTGACGACGCTGACGCCGCATCGCCAACAGTCGCTGCTTCCGCTCCCAATCGTTCAGATTCTATTCGGCTGCAGTGATGATCCGACGCAGGACTTTGGCTACGTCCTCTTCACCTCCAGAGCTGTGTACGAATCGATGTCGACTATATTCAGTCATTCCAACCCGCGACCTCTATTATGGCGCGAAACGAGTCGCTCAAGCCCACCCACACGCTTCGCATTTTCTCAGCAGGATAATCCTCCCATCATTCTACAATGGCTTCGAGGAGGTTCCTGCGATTCCCCTAGACGACGACGGAGATGTCTGACTGGAGAGAGGCGAAGAAAGCCAGGTTGTCGACATTCCGATCCGGAGTCAGCGCTGGTTGCACGATGACTGAAATGTTTCATCTTGCCGTGCGAGCTGAACCGATTTATGTTCTCGCGTTGCATATGGGGGCCGCGCACCGCAAGTACGAGCCTGGCCAGTTTCAGGGCAGCGAATGCGTGACTCCGTGTTCAAGCCGCGAGCTCCACTTCGTCACCGTGTCAGTTTCGAGCAAGTAAGTGTTAGCTTTTCTTCATTTGACTCGTGAGTTCCTGTCGGCAATGTCCTCACACGCATGGCTTCCGTGGAGAATCTGTTCGGGGTCAACCAAACCTACCTCAACATGAATGTGGGTGGTGGATGACAGCCTTTGGCGTGGTTCGTTGAGCAGTTTCTTGCTCAAAAACATGTGAAAAAGTCACGAAGTTTTTGTATACGGAGGAAGTAGTCACTGTACTGTAATTTGCTCTTCTGTACGAAGGCAGAGTTCGAATTATCCAGTGGGTGCACTTTTCGTACTTCGAATTATGCATTCGAATTTAACTTGAAGTGACTTGCAGATGATTGGTACGACGAAAAAGTCCGAATTACACGGAATGTTCGAATTATACAGTATTCGAAATAGAGGGAGTCTACCTGTACAAGAACTTGGAATGACTTCGAGAGGAGTAGAAAGGAGAACTTCGTGTGCATGATCCGGAAACCGAAAAGCGAAAAGTTGCACAAACTTGTTTCGAGAGTAAAGCACAAAAGCAGGGAAGTTAAGACGTCTGCAAGTTGTGTTACTCATTTTGTTCCTTGCGCCGCTCTATATCAACATATTAGAGACGTTATGAGTCTCCGACATGTTGACAGGGTGCATGGGCAACTCTGCTCGGTTTTGGCCCACGGCTGATTCAGTTGACGTGACTTTTCTGGAAATCATAAGTAATACCATACTAGACATGTACTACAAATCTGTGGACGCATGAACTTGGCCAGATTTCACTCTACAGTAAAACCTGGTGTAAGCGACCTCTGCTTTTAGCCACCATCTGCTTTTAACCAGCATTTTTCCATCCACGGACAGTTCTACAAGGAAACTGTACCTGCCTTGCGTGACTAGTGACTGTCTTTTAGTGTGCCAAATGCCATATTGGACCTGCACACAGCGACCAAAAAATGCCAGACCCACCAGGACGCAAACCCAATGAAAGTACTGTCTTGGACATGGAAATCCAGTGGAATGACCGGGACCGGCGTTCTCAATGTGTACAGAATGTTGCATGCAGTGCACATGTTTATCCAATATGACCAGCGCCTTGCCACTTGACTAGGTACTGAAGCTGATTCTGCCGGCGGCGGTGACTGAAAATGTTCTCCACCACATAGCGGGCATGACCATCAAGGTGCGTGATAGGCGGAGGCGTAGGCTGTCTCCTATTAGGAATAGCGTTCTTCTCGTAGGCACGGAGTGCCGACACATTAAATACCGGGTGACAGCGGCTGGTATGAGGCAACTTGAGCTTGTAGGCATTCGGGCCGACCACCTGGGTTATAGGAAAGGGGCCAAACCACTTGGGGCGTAATTTATGGGATGGTCGGTCCCGAGCTTCAGGAGTCAGGAGGAAATCCCGGTAGACCATTACCAAATCTCCCACCTTCAGCTTTCCCTCGACCCTTGTCCGATCTGCATAGAAGGCCTGACGAGCTTGAGCTGCCACTAGCGCATCTTGTGAGATCTTGACCGCGTCTTGTCTTGCTTGCAACCAATCAGCTGAATCTCTGCCTCCCTGAATAGGGTTGAGGAAGTCGGGTGGCGCTCTGGGATTTTAACCGTACTTGCAGCAAGTGTGGCAACAAACACCATACCCTGCTTCATGATGACAGTAGGAATGGTAGCAGTGATTTCAACAATAGCAGCGGCAGCAGCAGTGGCAGCAACAACAGCCACAGCACCTCAGCAGCTACAGGCAATGCCCCCGGCGTCGCCTAGTGTTTGACAGCCGGCACACTCTCCCTCTCACGTAGCGATGCAGTGTCTACTGCCACTCTGGAAGACATGGACGAGGCACACCCTATTGAAGTGCATAGCAGCGACATTTGATCCGCTCGACTCGGTGTCACCGGCAGTAGTGACAGGCAAGATCCTCCTGCAAGAGGCCTGGAAGGAACAAGGCAAGTGGGATGATCCGCTACCTTCTCCGCTCGCCCGGCGTATAGCAACAGGCAATGGTTGGACTTGTAAAACCTGCACTAGGTTTTGGTGGGGAGGATGTCGCTGACCTGCACATTGATAATTGTTTGATATTTATTTATTTGTACCTTTGCAGCACTGCGCAGTTTGTACGAGGACTTGGATATTTATGCAGTGCATGTCTACAGCTTATTTGAATGCGTGCCTACTGCGCAGTACTAGTCCCTTGTATAGTACGCGAGTTGTATTGAGGGTTAGCATACAGGTGTGAACGCTACGCACTTTTCATGCAAGCTACCTTTCTGGATTCTGTACTTGTTTTCATGCACGTGTCGCTGGCATACGCGATACGGGCCGGGTTTGTGTATTGTTTTGAACCATGTGGTTCTTCTTTTCAGTTTACTTCCTCCGTATACAAAAACTTCGTGACTTTTTTTAACAGTGTTTTTGAGCAAGAACCTGTTCAACGAACGGCGCCAAAGGCTGTCATCGACAACCCACGTCCATGTCGAGGTTTGTTTGGTTGATCCCGAACTGATTCTCCACGGACGCCCTGCGTGTGAGGACGTTGCCGACAGAAACTCAAGAGTCAAATAAAAAAAACTAACACTTACTTGCTCGAAACTGACACAGTGACGAAGTGTAGCTCGTGGCTGGAACACGGAGTCACGCGGCACTCGCTGCCCTGAAACTGGCCAGGCTCGTACTTGCGGTGTGCGGCCCCATAGATCTACGCGGCGTGAGAACATAGATTTGTTTCGCTCGCACGGCAAGATGAAACATTTCAGTCGTCGTGCAACCAGCCCAGACTCAGGATCAGAATGTCGATGGCCTGGCTTTCTTCGCCTCTCTCCAGTCAGACGTCTCCTTTGTCGCCAAGGGGAATCGCAGGGACCTCCTCGAAGCCATTGTAGAATGCTTGGGAGGATTATCCTGGCGAGAAAATGCGAAGCGTGTGGATGTGCTTGTACGACTCGTTTCACGGCATAATGGAGGTCGCAGGTTGGAACAACTGAATATAGTCGACACCGATTCGTACACAGCTCTAGAGATGAAGAGGACGTAGCCAAAGTCCAGCGTCGGATTATCACTGCAGGTGACAAGAATCTGAACGAAATGCGAGCGCAAGCAGCGACTGTTGGCGATGCGGAGTCTGCGTCGTCAGGTGACAATGACATGAGCGACAAAGACTCTGAAAAAACTCAATCTCATTCGTCTGAGTTGCTTTTTTCTTTGTATATAGCTTGTAAACAGGTTAGACAATGCCACAAGTGTTATTCCGAGTCAAACGGAACAATTCCAGAGCTGTGCGCAGCTTTCAAAAAAAAGTCACGAAGTTTTTGTATACGGAGGAAGTAGTTGTTCTTTGGTTGCTCCGCGAGTTGTTGCTTTGGTTGGAGACAAAGATGGCTTTCCGTTTCAGTAATATAAGGTAATGTAACTATAACTGATAGTATACTGTTGAGTGTTGGGATGCGTTGGGACCCCGACACCAATAGTGATTGTGATCTACAACCAAACTCATTGAGAACTTTTTCCTGAACTCTTGTTTCTTGCGTGTGCATCCAGCGTGGCGACACTCCATTGCACAAGGCCGCCAATAGTGGTAAACTCGAGGTGTGTCAAGCGCTGCTCACTGCAGGCGCCGACTGTAAAATCAAGAATGAGGTATAGCACAGTGACATCGAGTGCCGTGAACCAGGATGATCCTGTTCTGTGTTTGCACTGCACAAATAACGTACAAACATTCATGTTTTCCCTGACCTTTACCTGAGTGGAATCCTGTCATAACCGGAAAATTCTCATCTACTGCCTCCTCACTCCATCAATGTGTGCAGGTCTTTGCCCCAGGGTGTTGTGTCTATTGTTCTCAAAATCAGTCATGCTCCCATTGCTTTGTATATTTTTGAGAGACGCCATCATGCCAGAATCTTTCTCTTGAGCCTGGTCCATGCGGAACAATGTTATGTTCCATCTATTACAAGTATGAGGGGCTAGTATGTCGAAGTAGAAAAACTCGGCACGACTTCGGGAGGAGTATACAGGTGAACTCCAGGAGCATGAGCTGGAAACAGAAAAGTATTCCGAGCAACATGCATATTATATCTTACATTGCTACAAGCTAGTGCAGCACAGGCTCCATCCTCGTGGACAGTAGGCTATGCATACAGGACCTCGAGCATTCCAGATGTGAAGACAGGATTTGTATACATGAACCCTCACGTCGGGTTTAGGTGCACTAGCTACACCAACTGGTTTCGCAAGCAAAGAACAGAAGCACGGAAGCTAAGACTTCTGCATGCCTTCCTCCTCCTTTTGTTTCTTGCGTCACTCTATATCAACATGGCAAAGACGCCGTGAGTGCCCTTCAGTTTGCAGAGTGCATGCTAAACTCCGCTTGGTTTGGCCCTCGGAGGATTCAGTTGATGGCAACTTTTCTCGGGATCATAAGACAGTAACAAAGTATGAGGTATGTACTACGAATGTGCATCCACGTGAATAGGCTGGGTTTCACTGAACCTGCATTACGAGTACGATATTAAATTACACATGCAGGATAAAAGGCAAAAACATTCATTTTGAAAGTGGCAAAAGCACAAACTCCAAACTTGCCAATGAATCACACGGGAGGGATCAGATTAAGGCAGCGACGTACAATTCTCTTCACTGAAATGTGACCTAAAGCACAAAACTGCCACCATGGACCAGTTCTGATCACATCACTGCACTTGCATAATTATGAGTATGTCTAGCCGCATTCGTACCACATCATGGGCGTCGATCCAATTTGTACAACGACACAATGATCTGACAATATGAAATACACTCATAACTTGTTTATCCAGGCACTGCCCGTAACTTCGAAATGTCCATTACTCCGAATCACATACATTTTGACGGGGATGGCCATAGATATGGCATATGTCGTCACTATTTCCACAAAATTTGCCAAAATAAGTAGTAACATTTCCACTGAAACTCACCCAAAGGGTGTCCGGTAGCCTGAAATGCCCGTAACTTTGGGGTCTGGATAACCGAGGTACAAGTGTACATGTATGTCTGTACACTATTGGCAATCATGCAATGTAAATACCAGACAAGTAGTACCATATCCACCAACTGTTGAGTTCAACTCTGAATTGTTTTGCTTTGATCTACATTTGTGACTGTGTTCTACAATCAAACTGATTGAGAACTTTTTCCTGTACTGTTGCTTGTTGCGTGTGCATCTAGCGTGGCGACACTCCGTTGCACGATGCCGTCAGGAGAGATAACCTGGAGGTGTGTCAAGCACTGATCGCTGGAGGGGCCGACTGTAACATCAAGAATGAGGTAAAGCACAGTTACAATGAGTGTTATCAACCAGGATAATCCTGTTCTGTGTTTGCACTGTACAATAAACGTACAAACAATCATGTGTTCCCTGTCCTTTACCCGAGTGGAATCCTGTCATAACCGGATTATTTTCATGTACGCCCTCCTCACCACTTTAATGTGTGCAGGTCTTTGCCCCAGGGTGTTTTGTCTATTGTTCTCAAAATCAGTCACGCTCCCATTGCTTGGTATGTTATTCCGAGTCGCGATCACGCCAGAATCTTACACTTGAGCAAGGTCCATGCGGAACAATATTATGTTCCATCCATTACATGTATGAGGGCTAGTATGTCAATGTAAAAAAATTTGGAATGACTTCAGGAGGAGTATACAGGTGGACTTCAGGCGCATGAGCTGGAAACAGAAAAGTATTTTGAGCTACATGTATATTGTATCTTACATTGTTGGAGGCTAGAGCAGTGCGGGCTCCATCCTCGTGGATAGTAGGCTGTGCATACAGAACCTCGATCATTCCAGATGTGAATACAGGATTTCCATACATGACCCCTCACATCGGGTTTGGGTGCACTAGCTACACCAACTGGTTTCGCGAGCAAAGAATTGATTGCACGGAAGCTAAGACTTCTGCGTGCCGTCCTCCCCCTTTTGTTTCTTGCGTCACTCTACATCAACATGCCGGAGACTCTGTGATTGCCCTGGAAATTTGCTGAGTGCATGCTAAACTCCGCTTGGTTTGGCCCTCGGTGGATTCAGTTGATAGCAACTTTTCTCCAGATCATTAGACATTAACACAGTACGAGGTATGTACTACGAATGTGCATCCGCGTGAATAGGCTGGGTTTCACTGAACCTGCATTACGAGAACGATATAAAGTTACACATGGAGGATGAAGGGCAAAAAAGATCCATTTTGAAAGTGGCAAAAGCACAAACCCCAAAATTGCCACTGAATCACCCGGGAGGCATCAGATTAAGGCAGCGACGTACAATTCTCTTCACTGAAATGTGACTTAAAGCGCAAAACTGGTACCATAGACCAGATCTGATCATATCACTGTACTTGCATAATATTATGTGTACATCTAGCCGCATTCTTACCACATCATGGGCGTTAATCCAATTTGTTCAACGATACAATGATCCGAAAATATGAAATGCACTCATAACTTTTTATCCGGGCACTGCCCGTAACTTCTAAATGTCCGTAACTCCGAATCACATACATTTTGACGGGGAATGGCCATATATAATATGGCATATGTCGCCACTATTTCCACAAAAATTGCCAAAAGAGTAGTAACATTTACACTGAAACTCGCCCCAAGTTTGCCCGGTAGCCTGAAATGCCCGTAACTTTGGGGTCTGGATAACCAAGGTATAAGTGTACATGTATGTCTGTACACTATTGGCAATCATGCAATGTAAATACCAGACAAGTAGTACCATATCCACCAACTGTTGAATTCAACTCTGAATTGTTTTGCTTTGATCTACATTTGTGACTGTGTTCTACAATCAAACTGATTGAGAACTTTTTCCTGTACTGTTGCTTGTTGCGTGTGCATCTAGCGTGGCGACACTCCGTTGCACGATGCCGTCAGGAGAGATAACCTGGAGGTGTGTCAAGCACTGATCGCTGGAGGGGCCGACTGTAACATCAAGAATGAGGTAAAGCACAGTTACAATGAGTGTTATCAACCAGGATAATCCTGTTCTGTGTTTGCACTGTACAATAAACGTACAAACAATCATGTGTTCCCTGTCCTTTACCCGAGTGGAATCCTGTCATAACCGGATTATTTTCATGTACGCCCTCCTCACCACTTTAATGTGTGCAGGTCTTTGCCCCAGGGTGTTTTGTCTATTGTTCTCAAAATCAGTCACGCTCCCATTGCTTGGTATGTTATTCCGAGTCGCGATCACGCCAGAATCTTACACTTGAGCAAGGTCCATGCGGAACAATATTATGTTCCATCCATTACATGTATGAGGGCTAGTATGTCAATGTAAAAAAATTTGGAATGACTTCAGGAGGAGTATACAGGTGGACTTCAGGCGCATGAGCTGGAAACAGAAAAGTATTTTGAGCTACATGTATATTGTATCTTACATTGTTGGAGGCTAGAGCAGTGCGGGCTCCATCCTCGTGGATAGTAGGCTGTGCATACAGAACCTCGATCATTCCAGATGTGAATACAGGATTTCCATACATGACCCCTCACATCGGGTTTGGGTGCACTAGCTACACCAACTGGTTTCGCGAGCAAAGAATTGATTGCACGGAAGCTAAGACTTCTGCGTGCCGTCCTCCCCCTTTTGTTTCTTGCGTCACTCTACATCAACATGCCGGAGACTCTGTGATTGCCCTGGAAATTTGCTGAGTGCATGCTAAACTCCGCTTGGTTTGGCCCTCGGTGGATTCAGTTGATAGCAACTTTTCTCCAGATCATTAGACATTAACACAGTACGAGGTATGTACTACGAATGTGCATCCGCGTGAATAGGCTGGGTTTCACTGAACCTGCATTACGAGAACGATATAAAGTTACACATGGAGGATGAAGGGCAAAAAAGATCCATTTTGAAAGTGGCAAAAGCACAAACCCCAAAATTGCCACTGAATCACCCGGGAGGCATCAGATTAAGGCAGCGACGTACAATTCTCTTCACTGAAATGTGACTTAAAGCGCAAAACTGGTACCATAGACCAGATCTGATCATATCACTGTACTTGCATAATATTATGTGTACATCTAGCCGCATTCTTACCACATCATGGGCGTTAATCCAATTTGTTCAACGATACAATGATCCGAAAATATGAAATGCACTCATAACTTTTTATCCGGGCACTGCCCGTAACTTCTAAATGTCCGTAACTCCGAATCACATACATTTTGACGGGGAATGGCCATATATAATATGGCATATGTCGCCACTATTTCCACAAAAATTGCCAAAAGAGTAGTAACATTTACACTGAAACTCGCCCCAAGTTTGCCCGGTAGCCTGAAATGCCCGTAACTTTGGGGTCTGGATAACCAAGGTATAAGTGTACATGTATGTCTGTACACTATTGGCAATCATGCAATGTAAATACCAGACAAGTAGTACCATATCCACCAACTGTTGAATTCAACTCTGAATTGTTTTGCTTTGATCTACATTAAATTTTGTGACTGTGTTCTACAATCAAACTCATTGAGAACTTTTTCCTGTACTGTTGCTTGTTGCGTGTGCATCTAGCTTGGCGACACTCTGTTGCACGATGCCGCCAGGAGAGGTAACCTCGAGGTGTGTCAAGCGCTGATCGCTGGAGGGGCCGACTGTAACATCAAGAATGAGGTAAAGCACAGTTACATTGAGTGTTATCAACCAGGATAATCCTGTTCTGTGTTTGCACTGTAAAATAAACGTACAAACAATCATGTGTTCCCTGTTCTTTACCCGAGTGGAATCCTGTCATTACCGGATTTTTTTCATGTACGCCCTCCTCACCACTTTAATGTGGGCCACATTGCCATCGCATACAAGATCGGGTTTTTTCATCAGAGACGCCATCTCGCCAGAAACTTTCACATGAGCAGGTGCAGACGGAACAATATTTATGTTCCATCCATTACACGTATGAGCTGCTAGCATGTCAAAGTACAAGAACTGACAGGAACTTCAGAAGAAGTAGACAGGAGAACTTCCCGCACATGAGCTGGAAGCGGAAAAGCCTTCCGAGCTATCATGCAGTCCTGCGGGCTAGAACAGCACAGGCCCTGTCCTCTTGGATAGCAGCTTGTGCACACACGACCTCGTGCATTGCAGCCCTGCCTACAGGATTGCATGAACCCACACATTGGGTTTGGGTGCACTAGCTGCGCGAGCAAAGCACAGAGGCATGGGTAGCTAAAATGTCTGTGCACCGTGTTACTCCCGTCGTTTCTTGAGCCAATCTACGTCAACACGTCCCAGACATTGTGAATGCCCTTAAATTCCGAGACTGTGTGAGGAAATCCGCTTCCTTTGGCCCGCATCAACTTTTCTGAAGATCATAAGTAGTACCGTACCAGGAATATACTATGAATCCGCGGCCGTGTGAATTTGGCTGGGTTTCACTGAACCTGGATTACGAAAGCGATAAAAATTACAGACCCGGGATGAAGAGTTACAATTTGGTTTTTGAAAGTGGCAAAACACAAATCCCAAAATTTCTCCTGAATCATCCTGGAGGGATCAGATTAAGGCTGTCACCAAGTACAGTTGTGATCACTGAAAATCGGTACCAAAGTGCAAAACTGACACCCTGGACCAGTTCCAATTACATCTCCGCACTTGCATATGTGTATGTCTGATCGCATTCGTTCCATATCCTGGGCATTGATCCAATTTGTAAAGCGACACACTGATAAGACAAAATGACATACATGTATGTCTGCACACTAATGGCAATCATGCAATGAAAATACTGTCTCGGACATGGAAATCCAGGAGAATGACCGGGACCGGCGCCCTCAGTGTGTACAGAACGTTGCATGCAGTGCACATGTTGATCCAATATGACCAGCGCACTGCATGTGTGTACCGTAGACTACGCATACCGAATCTAGGCTGCATGGGCAGCGCCCAGGGGTCGCTAGACGTGCGACCGGATTTCCTTGTCCACGGCAGTACCAGACAAGTAGTACCATATGAACAAACTGTTGAATTCCACTCTGCATTGTTTTGCTTTGATTTACAATTGTGACTGTGATCTACACTCAGACTGATCAAGAACTTTTTTCCTGTACTGTTGTTTCTTGCATGTGCTTCCAGGATGGCAACACTCCGTTGCAACATGCCGCCATTAGTGGTAGAATCGAGGTGTGTCAAGCGCTGCTCGCTGCAGGGGCGGACTTTAACATCAAGAATACGGTAAAGAACCGGATTTAGAGTGTCATGAACCCTGCTGATCCTGTTCTGCTTTACTGTGTAAAATTAACTGCTTCCAGCATGGCAACACTCCGTTGCACCATGCTGCCTGGGCAGAACAATTGATGTGTGCCAGCGCTGCTCGCTGCAGGGGCGAACTGTGACATCAAGAATGCGGTCAAGGGCAGTATAATAGGGTGTCATGAACCATGATGATTATGGTCTGTGCTTACAATGTACTATCGAGAAAAAACAACTCATGTGTTCCACAGACCCTCACCAAATTGGAAACCTTGCATGAAGGAGCAATTTTCAATCTACTGCCTCCTCAACACTGCAATGTGGGCAGATCTTTTCCCCAGGGTGTTGTGTCAATTTTTTTCTAATTGGCCTCACTCCCGTTGCGTACAAGATGTGCAAGATTGGCATATTCTTGGGAATCGCCATCACGCCAAAATCTTTCACCTGAGCAGGTGGAGGCGGTACAATATTTTGTTCCATCCCACCATCTGCTCACGTCGCACCAGTTTGGATTTCGCAGAGGCCTCGGCACATCAGACGCTTTGCAAGCTCTCCAAACTGCCTGGGCAAGCGCTGTGGGCTGTGGAGGGGCGGCTCGTATCCTTGCTGTGGACATCGCAGGAGCGTTTGACCGTGTCTCACATGTCGGCCTCCTCCTCAAGGTGCGCAGCCTAGGCATCGATGGTCCGCTCCAGAGATGGCTTGCCTCGTTCCTGGACACCCGTTCCTTACAGTGCCTTGTTGGAGGGCGTACGTCAGCTACGTATACGACCTCCGCTGGAGTCCCTCAGGGAAGCATTCTTGGTCCAACGCTTTTCTTGGCGTACATCAACGACGCGCCAGACGTTCTCGCTGACGGCGCTAGCTTGGAGGCCTATGCTGATGACACAACCTTGTACAGCTTAGTCACCTCCCAGCAGACCCCGGAAGTCGCAGCGCAGTCACTGCAAGTGTCCGTTGACCGACTGTACGAGTGGGGCCGTACGTGGAAAGTGACTTTTGAACGAACTAAATCCCAGGCCATGACAGCCACCCTCAGACGCGCCGGCTTAGATCCCCCCCCCCCCCCCCCACTCCTGTTTGGTGGCACACTGGTGCCCAAGACAACCAGCATCACCCTCCTTGGTGTGAAGGTGGACGCCAAGTTGACCTTTGGCGATCACCTATGCTCCTCAGCCACCCGTGCACGCCAACGGCTTGGGGTCCTAAAGAGAGCCGCCCACATCCTCACCCCCGCCGGCCGGACGACAGTGTATAAGGCGTTCGTACGACCAGTCATGGAGTATGCGCCTCTTGTATGGATAGGAGCTGCGCAGAGTCACCTCCAGCGTCTGAACAATGTTCAGCGCCGCGCACTCCATGCTATCGGCCCTGGGGCACACCTACCCAGCTTGGCCATCCGCCGTACTGTTGCCTCGCTTGCCTGCCTGTACAAGCTGCACTACTTGCCTGGTCCACCGCAGCTGCTCTCTGTGTTGCCACCGCGCCATATCACCTCTGCCAACCCCAGAACCCGCAGCGAGCACGGTAGTGTCAGTGGCCATGACCACCAGCTCCAACACCAGCTGCCTGCATCTGCCCCGCTGGCGCTGAAGCTCTCATTCCCACACTGCAGCATCAGCGATTGGAACTCCCTCCCTGCCGCTCTCCTGTCCCAGCCTCCCCACAGCAAGAGAATGCAATCATTCAAAACGAACGTTTATCGCCATCTTCGCAGCACAAACTGGCTCTGGGCGGTCGATTCCTTATGAATTGTATGATGGTATGATAGTTTCTCCCCACACTCACTCGTGTTAAGCCTTGGGTTTTTCGCATCTTTCTGACCTGTACAGCTTTATCTTCTTTTTTTCCTTGTTTTGGTGCGTGTTTGTGGCCGTGACGCCGAGACCTAAGGTCGGCAGAGTCATCAATGCCCCGCCATCACTGCTGCGTCTAGGCACAGCGCCTGCTCATTACTTGTCAGTTTGTCCTAGTCTCCGTACCATTGTCTTTCCTTATTCTTTTCGAGCTGGTTATGTGAACATAGTAAAAAAAATCCATTACATGTATTAGCTGCTAGTATGTCGAAGTACAGGTAGACTCCGTCTAATTCTAACCTCAAATTGCCAGGCACTAAATTCGAATTATCCGGAACTTCTAATTATCCAAAATGCAGTCCCACGTACTGATATGTATGTCAAAATGCTCGAAATTGCGTGCTGATTATTTTTGCATAATTCATTTGCAACAACGATACATAAAAAAAGATAAAATTTAAGGAAATTGTCGTGTCCGTTCCAGAAGGGAACTCACAACTCCCGCTAAAACCCGGTAAACCCTAGCGGCCGATGCAGCACCTAACAGTGGGGGTGAGTGGATAAGTCTCACTACCACTGGCACAAGTGCCATAGGTGGTCATGAACAACGAAATCAGTTCATGTCACCAATACACTGGATCGACATGAAGTCATCGGACATTATTTTCATCTTCTACTAAGTTCTAGTGAAGCAGTTTTCAATCGCTGCAGTTGTCCTGAAACGATTTCAACGCAAAAGAACAGCGCTGCCTTCTCTGCGTCATGAAAGCCCGTCGGAGAGCAGCACGTCGTTCTGAAGAACGGAAGTGGAGCATAGGCATAGACAATTTTTACGACTTCCAGTTGTTGTTCAGTCCTAAACTTCTTTGCACATGAGCTGGCGCGGCATGACAAGCCATTGAGATCCGCGATGGGAGCCAATCACCTGGAAGAAGTCGTCTTCAATCAAATCTTTGCACTTTGCTTTGCACAGGCTTGGATCAAATTTCGAGAGAAGGTGGGTTTCTTAAACGCTATTGTCGTCCTGAAGCGGACCAGGGATCAATTTCTGAGTTACTCTTGGCTAGAGAAGGAGAACAAATGAACTTCGGATTACGAGTAGAGCAACTCCATCTCACTTCGAAATAAGCGCTCGAAGGACATAGTCACTGTACTGTAAACTGTTCTTCTGTACGAAGACAGAGTTTGAATTATCCAGCGGGTGCACTTTTCGTACTTCGAATTATGCATTCGAATTTAACTTGAAGTGACTTGCAGAAGATCGGTACGACGAAAAAGTTCGAATTACACGGAATGCTGGAATTATACCGTATTCGAATTAGAGGGAGTCTACCTGTACAAGAACTTGGAATGACTTTGGGAGGAGTAGAAAGGAGAACTTCGGGTGCATGATCTGGAAACCGAAAAGCAAAAAGTTGCACAAACATGTTTCGAGAGCAAAGCACAAAACCAGGGAAGTTAGGACTTCTGCAAGTTACGTTTCTCATTTTTGTTCCTTGCGCTGCTCTTTATCAACATTATTAGAGACGTTATAAGTCTCCGACATGTTGACAGGGTGCATGGGCAACTCTGCTCGGTTTTGGCCCACGGCTGATTCAGTTGACGTGACTTTTCTGGAAATCATAAGTAATACCATACTAGACATGTACTACAAATCTGTGGACGTATGAACTTGGCCAGATTTCACTCTACAGTAAAACCTGGTGTAGGCGACCTCTGCTTTTAGCCACCATCTGCTTTTAACCAGCATTTTTCCATGCATGGACAGTTCTACAAGGAAACTGTACCTGCCTTGCGTGACCAGTGACTGTCTTTTAGTTTACCAAATGCCATATTGGACCTGCACACAGCGACCAAAAAATGCCAGACCCACCAGGACGCAAACCCAAAAGAAAATACTGTCTTGGACATGGAAATCCAGTCGAATGACCGGGACCGGCGCTCTCAGTGAGTACAAAACGTTGCATGCAGTGCACATGTTGTCTGATATGACCAGCGCACTGCACGTGAGCACCGTAGACTAGGCGTGCCGAATCAAGGCTGCATGGACAGCGCCCAGGGGTCGCTAGACGTGCCACCGGGTTTCCATGTCCACGGCAGTACCAGACAAGTAGTACCATATCAACCAATTGTTGAATTCCACTCTGCATTGTTTTGCTTTGATTTACAATTGTGATTGTGATCTATACTCAGACTTCCCAAGAACTTTTTTTCCTGTACTGTTGTTTCTTGCATGTGCTTCCAGCGTGGCAACACTCCGTTGCATGATGCCGCCACGAGAGGTAGAATCGAGATGTGTCAAGCGTTGCTCGCTGCAGGGGCGGACTGTACCATCAAGAACACGGTAAAGAACCGGATTTAGAGTGCCATGAACCATGCTGATCCTGTTCTGCTTTACTCTGTAAAATTAACTGCTTCCAGCATGGCAACACTCCGTTGCACCATGCTGCTTGGGCAGAAATAATCGATGTGTGCCAGCGCTGCTCGCTGCAGGGCCGGACTGTGACATCAAGAATTCGGTTAAGGACACTATAACAGGGTGTCATGAACCATGATGATTAAGGTCTGTGCTAACAATGTACTTTCGAGAAAAAACAACTCCTGTGTTCCACAGACCCTCACAAAATTGGAATCCTTGCATGGAGGAGCAATTTTCAATCTACTGCCTCCTCAACACTGCAATGTGAGCAGATCTTTGCCCAAGGGTGTTGTGTGTATTTTTTTTATTTGGCCTCACTCCCGTTGCGTACAAGATGTGCAAGATTGGCATATTCTTGAGAGACGCCATCATGCCAGAATCTTTCACCTGAGCAGGTGCAGGCGGTACAATATTATGTTCCATCCATTACACGTATTAGCTGCTAGTATGTCGAAGTACAGGTAGACTCCGTCTAATTCGAACCTCAAATTGCCAGGCACTAAATTCGAATTATCCGGAACTTCTAATTATCCAAAATGCAGTCCCATGTACTGATATGTATGTCAAAATGCTCGAAATTGCATGCTGATTATTGTTGTGGTGTACTAGCTGTGCTAGTACTTGTTAGTTACAATCTGAACTAGCGCACACACTGCACTGCATTGCTTTGTACTGCATTCAAGACTGACGTCATGCGCTTTGTTTTGTTGCGTAATTACAAATGGCACCAGCCCATTTTGCGGAAAAGAAAAACAAATCTTGCTTGCCCTGTTGTGCTCTTCCAGACAACGGACCGTGCTTCAGCAGAGTTTCTTTTCCTTTCGTAGCTTTGCTGCCAGCCCGAGTGTCACCTCGACACTGTATTACTTCAGTATGTCTGACCTAACTGTCGACACTGTCAAGGCAATGCCTTGCCAAGCCCCCCGCGGCGAGCGTTCTCAGCGCGGCTTGAATCCGAACGGAAACTTAGTAAAAGTATTTTACAGGACCGTTTGCTGGCACAACTAGCCCTTGGTAGTGAGGTCTGCTCCGGCCAGGAGAACCAGCAACATGACAGTGCGGACACGGCTCGCGAGCCCAGAAGCCCGACTGGCACCAATGCCTCCTCTGCCAGCTCAGGTGACGCGGGCTCAACGGATCTCTGCGCTCTCATACGGGACGAGGTGTAGTCGGCTTTGTCGGCCGCCATTATATTATTATCGGAGACCATTGTGCCGCTCACCCAAGGCCAAGGCAATGCGGCTGCTGCCGCCACTACGCCGGGCCAAGCTCCTGTAACCCACCCGATCAGCCACCTGCACCAGCTGTGCCCAAGGCTGTGCAAGAACGTATCTTGCGAGGGGAGTTCGTAAATTTTTCAAGTTTGTTGCCTGAAATTCTTGCACACTTCCGGCCCAACATTCCGGCTGGTGCACAGCCCGAATAACGATAGCCAGCTAAATATCGCTGACTCGGATGACGCGAAGCAGGTGCGTCGCAAGGTTCACGATAATTATACATGTAGCTACCCGGCTCGAGGCATGGACCACATACATGTCTGTTATCACGCCTGCTGCCCTACACCGCACTGCTGAACTTCTGAACTGATTGCATACCAGCAGTTGATCCTGACTGCTAACCGCCAGTTCTTCCCAAGCGCGTGGCTAGAGTACGACCGCCAGCTGCGGATGCTCGTGGCCCAGTAACCAGGCACGAAGAGGTTGGACACCATTGGCGTGAACCTATGGCAGATAGCTGTCACAGGGCATGCACACCCAAAATGCGCTCAATGTAAGACGGTCCATCCAGGGGCGGTTTGTGTCCGTTTCGTCCCCAAGCCAGCAGCATTTACCTCCAGTGGTCGCAACCATACCAGCGACGGCCAAGAAATCTGCCGCAACTTCAATGGAGGTCGCTATTCTTCGTCGTCGTGCCGCTTTTTCCACACCTGCAGCCAGTGTGGCAAGGACCACCCATGCATCATGTGCAACCAGCAGCAGCGTGGAGCCAATCGGCCACCCCGCCGCTCCTAGCAGAATGGCTACTGAATCGCTTGACTCGGTACGTAGCTTCTTTCCTATACACTCTGCAGACACCACACTGCTAGCTGACCACTTTGCCCGCCTGTTACGTAACCTCTCAGATCAATCATGTGTTGCGTATGTTCTCCATGGCCTGCGCCGTGGCTTTACTCTTGGATCTGCCGGCCAACACGACATTTCGGTTTTCTCTAATAATCTGCCCTCGGCTTTCACTCACTCGGCATTTATATCCGAGCAATTAGCTGCTTCCTGCGCTTGCAGCGAGACCACAGGCCCATTTCTGTCACCTCCATTTCAGTTCATGCGCCGCTCTGGTATTGGTGTCATCCCCAAAAAGAACGGCAAGCTGCGAATGATCCACCATCTGTCTAGTCCGGAAGGCACCGGCGCGAACGACAGCATTCCTGCCGAGCCGCTCTCTCTGCACTACGCGAGCATTGACAACGCGATCTACATCATCATAATATCATGCCCACGGCCTGTGTATTTGTCCAAGCTCGATGTACGCAGTGCATTTCGGCAGATCCCAGTCCGCCGTCAGGACTTCGCTGGGAAGGCTCCTACTACTACGAGCGCTTTCTGCCTTTCGGCCTACGCTCCAGCCCAGCCGTCTTTGACTCAGTAGCCACAGCAGTCAACTGGATCGTGCAGCACGAGTTTGCGATAGATCACCGGCTTCATTACCTCGATGACTTTCTTGATATCTCCACTGGTTTGGCTGCAGCCAACCATCAACTCACCATCCCCCTCCGGGCATTCACGTATCTCGGCATTCCTCTTTGCTCCATCCCAGCTCGAAGGGCCATCACCATCATTGACCTTCCTTGGTATTGTCCTAGACTGCGAGCGCCACGAAGCTCGGCTACCAGAGGACAAGCTGTCCGAGACCCATGCGCCACTGATGGCTATTATCAGCGAGCGCAGCATCGGCCAGCGAGCGCAGCATCGGCCAGCGTCAACTCGAGTCCCTCCTGGGGAAGCTCACTTTTGCTGCCCGAGTCATCGTTCCTGGACACACATTCATGCGTTAACTATGATCAGCGTGCCCTGAACTGCAATATCCTCAGGGCCGTCCAAGGCAACCACGGCAGTAGGTACGACATTGACCACGGCGGACTTGGCTGCGAAATTTTTCATGATCGCGGACAGCTATGTCCGCATCCAAGTCACCGCCTTCACTATCGCAGCTCCAGTCATCACTGTCCGAGTCCATGATGGACGGGAGCACCTCTTCAGCCGACATGCGGCGACTCGCCGTGCCTGAGTGACAGCTAGAGAGACCTAAAGTATGTTCCGTCAATCTAATTATTTCTGAATTGAAATATGTTTTTCGCGTGCGCGCTCTGAATGTATGCTCCCGAGCCCATACTTACTCAAACACGGCGAGTCAGATCTTATTCAGTAGGGGAAAACCCCTAGTTTTCCCTCGAAGAGACACAATCAGCCAAGCCAGATCGTAGTGCATGGCCGGTGAGATATAGTAGTGCGCACTACGAGGACGAGATAGCTTGTCCTTGGCCAATCGTGTGGGGGTCTGTAGGACGAGTTATCCCGTCCTTGGCGCTGAAAGGGTTAACTTTCTTTCACTTCTGGTAGCACATTCTAGAACTAACCTTGGTTGGTCCCCTGACGAGGGAAAAAGACCCAAGAGTCATCAGTATGTGTGACACGTGTTGTGAGCTGCCTTTGGAGGGAAAAAACTTGTCAGCGCCTTCTGTTTTCGGCCTGGTCCAATAGCTGGGATGGTTAGAGCATTGCCCACAACAATCAAGTTCTCGGGTTTGAGTCCTGGTGTGTCTGGCACTTCTAAGCTTTTCAGGCAGTTCACTTCCTCGACTGATCCTTTGAAATTTGAAGTTCTCCCAATGTTATAAAATATTCCTTTTGAAAGCCATAAAACGCAAGCTCCAAAATTGCTGCTAAATCATCCGGGAGTTATCAGATTAAGGCAATGACCAAGTACAATTATCTTCACTGAAATGCGGCATAAAGTGCAAAACTGGTACCATGGACCAGTTCCGATCACATCACTGCGCTTGCATATGTGTACGTCTAGCCACACTTTACCACATCCTGGGTGTTCATCCAAATTGTACAACGACACAATGATCCGCCAATATGAAATACACTCATAACTTGTTTATCCGGGCAGTCTAGGACTAGGCACTGTCAATATGTCAATAACTTCGAAATGTCCGTTACACCGAATCACATACATTTGGATGGGGAATGGCCATAGATATGGCATATGTTGTCACTATTTCCACAAAAATTGCCAAAAGAGTAGTAACATTTCTACTGAAACTCGCCCAAAGTGTGCCCGGTAGCCTAAAATGCCCGTAACTTTGGGGTCTGGATAACCGAGGTATAAGTGTACATGTATGTCTGTACACTAATGGCAATCATGCAATGTAAATACCAGACAAGTAGTACCATATCCACCAACTGTTGAATTCCACTCTGAATTGTTTTGCTTTGATCTACAGTTGTGATTGTGATCTACAATCAAACTCATTGAGAATTTTTTCCTGTACGGTTGTTTCTTGCGTGTGCATCCAGCATGGCGACACTCCGTTGCACGATGCCGTCAGGAGAGATAACCTCGAGGTGTGTCAAGCGCTGCTCGCTGCAGGCGCCGACTGTAAAATCAAGAATGAGGTAAAGCACAGTGACATTGAGTGTCGTGAACCAGGATGATCCTGTTCTGTGCTTGCACTGTACAATTAACATACAAACAATCATGTGCTCCCTGACCTTTAGCCGAGTGGAATCCTGTCATCACTGGAAAATTTTCATTTACGGCCTCCTCACCCAATCAATGTGTGCAGGTCTTTGCCCCAGGGTGTTGTGTCTATTTTTCTAAAAAATCAGTCACGCTCTCATTGCTTGGTACATTTTCGAGGAACGCCATCATGCCGGAATCTTTCACCTGAGCAGGTCCAGAGGGAACAATAATTATGTTCAATCCATTACACGTATGTGGGGCAAGCATGTCGAAGTAGAAAAACTAGGAACAACTTCGGGATTCCTATACAGGTGGACTTCAGGCACATGAGCTGGAAAAGGAAAAGTATTTCGAGCTACATGTATATTGTATCTTACATTGCCACAGGCTAGTGCAGCGCAGGCACCATCCTCGTTAGTAGTAGGCGGTGCATACAGGACCTCGATCATTCCAGATGTGAATACAGCATTTCCATACATGAACCCTCACGTCGGGTTTAGGTGCACTAGCTGCACAAACTGGTTTCACGAGCAAAGAACAGAAGCACGGAAGCTAAGACTTCTGCATGCCTTCCTCCTCCTTTTATTTCTTGTTTCAATTATTTATTTATTTATTTATTTATTTATTTATTTCTGCACCTCGTGGCATGTCAAGACAGCCAATTGAATTGAGGAGAGGGTGAGACCAACCACGGAAGAAGAGAAAAAAAGAAAATTAAGAGCACGTACACAAAGTGGGAAGGGATTAGCAACTTACAAAGCAATGGGATGCTCAGCGAGCTATGCAGCGGAAGTGGTGACTGTGACTTTGTTTACTGGGAGATACTGAAGTGCTGTCTGACGAGGGTACGGAATTTGGGCATATCTGGAGCTTGTCTAACACTGGGAGGCAGTTGGAGCCACGTGGAGTAGGAGGAAAAGAAAGGGGAATTTACGAATAGGGTAGACCTAGCTAGGGGGAGACGAACGCAGCTTCGGGTGGTGCCACCTGAATTGAACCAATTAAGGGACTGTAAATGAGCAGGGTGCTGGTCAAGGAAAATTGAATGCGCCAGGGTGCACTTGGAAGCATCAAGGTAATGTTGCAGAGTGGTAGTGGATGCAGCAGCATACAAGTCTAGATTTGAGGTATAACGATCAGTACGGAATATGATCCGCAGTATACGGCGATGGAGAACTTCTAATTTACCTATGTGGGTTTTGTTAATGGTGGACCAGGCAGGGAAGCCGTACGTGAAGAGGGGAAGAATGTATGATTTATAAAAATTAATCCGGCAATTTTTGGGCAAACGGGACAAGTGACTTGACATTATGCCGACAGATCGGCATACTTTGGACGACACATGATCAGCATGGTGAGACCAGGAGAGGGCGGAATCTATGACAATGCCAAGGTGTTTATGGTGGGGCGCTACAGAGATAGGGTGACCGGGATCATCGGGAAAGTGGAAGATGGGCACTGGATCTGTGGGAGGGGGAAACAGGAGGAGCTCGGTTTTGGTCACATTTGGCTTAAGGTACCAAGTGCTCATCCAGTGAACAATGTCGTTGATACAGGTCTGAACTTTGGGGTACAGGGTGGCGTGAGATGGGGAGGAAGCAAGGACAGTGGTATCATCTGCAAACAAAGAAATATTGGGAATTGAATAGGGTAGGTCATTAACGTATGTGAGGAAGAGCAGGGGACCTAAAATGGAGCCCTGGGTGTGACGCACTGATTTCGGTCCAAGAGGTAGCTAGTTATCCAGGGGAGTAGGGAGCCGGAGACACCATGGGCACGAAGTTTGGCGATCAGGCCCTTGTGCCACACGGTGTCGAAGGCCTTGAAGAGGTCGAAGAAACAGATGCAGGAGACCTGCCGCTGGTCTTTTAGGGAGCAGAGGTCTTGGATTATGCGGGATAATTGCAGGGATGTGTTGTCCTTACGACGGAAGCCAGATTGTGCGGGGTGAAGAAGAGGGGAGATATGGTCGTACAAGCGGTCGTACACTATTCTCTCTAGCAGTTTGGAGACGCAGGACAGGAGGGAGATTGGTCGGTAATTAGACGGGTTGTTCTTGTCGCCTTTATTTTTGTACACTGGAATGACAGTGGCTGACTTCCATCGTGACGGGAATGTGCCGGAGGAGAGGGAAAGGTTAAAAAGAATGGAGAGTGGGCGGGCAATTGAGTAGCTCAGTTTCCTGAGGATCTCATTGGTGATCCTATCAGCTCCGGGGGATTTGTTCAGAGGCAGTCTTGCAATATACTTGTGAACGGTCGATGAGGTGATGATCAGGGAGTGCAATGTAGTTGCTGGTGGAGGTAGAGAGGAAATAGTGGGAATAGGAGCATCGGGGTCAACCTGTAAGCCAGCACTAACGAAGTGGCGGTTCAATAAGTTACCAATGGATGCCGGAGAGGTGCTTGTTCGACCATTGGGGCCCACCATCTTCGAAGGTATAACCCGGGCGCTGGTAGGATTTCGCAGTTGACGAATGAGCACAGGGAGGGATGGGAGGCGAGGGTTTGTGGGAGATATCGTGGCACGGAGAGTAACACCGTATGAGGTATGTACTACGAATGTGCAGCCGCGCGAATAGGCCGGGTTTCACTGAACCTGCATTACGAGTACGATATTAAATTACACATGCAGGATAAAAGGCAAAAAATCCATTTTGAAAGTGGCAAAAGCACAAACTCCAAAACTGCTGCTGAATCACCCGGGAGCGATCAGATTAAGGCAGTGACCAAGTTCAGTTGTGAGTATCAAAATCCGGCCTAAAGTGCAAAGCAGACACCCTGGACCAGTTCTAATTATATCACTGCATTTGCATATGTGTATGTCCAGTTGCATTTGTATCACATCCTGGGCGTCTAGGGCTGTGCGAGTTCATGGCACCAAATATGCACTTTGGGTGGGATTTCACTGAGCACAACTGCACAAGTACCTGTATGACATGATGTATGTACTGATAGGTGTGTTATGTGTATATTGCAACTGTCTTGTGTTTAGCATGGCAGGACACCATTGGACAGAGCGAGATACTGGAAACATCATAAGGTTGTAGCGCTATTGGAGAAGGCCACCCCATAGTCATCATGAGACCTTTACTAATTGTAAAGTGGCTATGCACACACTGCGGGTCATTTCCTGCCAGTTGTGGCAACATGGCAGCTATCTTTCTCTGACGGATCCAGAGCTTTAATCGTCACATATATATGACTTTGTATGTATTTGAGCAATGGGCAGGTTGGACTGCGGTGTTGTCTTGCTGTCCCTGCCCACAATGCCAGTGCATGATACCATACATTTCTAGACATGCTAGCTTCCATTTCCTCTTCTCTTCCAAGTATCTTAAAGAGATCGTCTTGCACTCCATGCAGATCCTTACTAGAAGTTACAATGTTTGAATAGAAAATTGTACAATGTCGTCACAGTAGTGCTTTGCTAGCATTATAATTATTAGAATCAACTGACATACTATCGTCAGTGGATGTATTTTCAACACGTTTCTCCTTATTTTTTATCAATTGTTCGTTTCAAGTCGTTTGATTAGACTATTCCGTGTGTTAGCGGCCTTCGTGACTTCCATTAGGGACAGCCATCATTTTTTCCCCGCAATCGGTATGGAGGCAAGAACTTGATACCAAAGAGAAATAAAATACCGGTATTTTACTACTTCCTGCTTGATGTTTATGGTTTATAGTGTGTTGTACTTCAAGCACATTTTCTACTTGCCTGCAGCAGTATTTAACAAAGTGGTATGGTTTGGCAAGTTCGGTATTCACACTGACTTGTTCTGATGTACATGTACATCCATGTATATCAACTGTCAAACTTCTTGCTGTGAATACGTTCTGCAATGCTCATTCCATGGATTTTATTGATGCCTCTGCACCCCATATTGTAGCTTTCACTGATTTGTACTTGCAGTAATTGCTATGATCGGTGATTTCTTGAGTCAATTTGACGCCCTGTGTTGTGCACATCCAGTAGTTCGCCCCTTCATTCTCATAACTAGCAGGCAGGCATAGTGGGATGGTCTAAGACCATGAGTTAGAAACAGAGGCCCGGGTACCAGGTTCAAGTCCTGCTTTGAAGTGGAAGGAATTTTTCCAACCGTGTTGCGACCCACAGTTAGTTGGGAACTCGTGGCCTGGACCGAGGGAAGCATAGATGCAGCGAATGTGATTCTCGATCTTTGACCACTTTGGTGGTGGATCTTATCTGCTCGCCTCCCACCGCATTAGAAGTTGCATCTGCGCCTTGATCTGTGAGGGTGTTGGCGTCCCAGTGGATGCTGAAAATTCGGTCTCCAGCCGAGTCTAATGCGAACCGTGATAATATATTTTTTAATTTTTTTCTATCACGCTTACCCGTGTACAACTGCGCATGAACAAGCGAAACAGCTGTCCGAAGATTTTTCCAACTATGGAAACCTAATGAGATAGTATCCTCTGTGGTCACGTGACGTGCATGTGCTGGTTTGGTTGCTGTCCCGTTGGACGACATTTTTACGATTCTCGTATAGACTCGGCTAACCCAAGTAAGTTTTCCGCATCTGCATGAAAGCCAGGCCCACCACCGTTAAGGATCGAGGTAAAGATTCAGCTCCTAAAGCGGTGGGAGGCACAGTAAGTAGATCAAACCCACCACCCAAGGGGTCAAAGACCGAAACATCTCACTTGGTGCATTTATGTTTCCCTTGTGCCAGGTCACGTGTTTCCATTTTAAGATTGAGCCGCAACACGGCTGTAAATGCACTGTCGCTTCCAAGCAGGATTTAAACCTGGTACCCTATTTTTCTCAGTTTATCAATCTTGGTCATTATATACCATCCTACCATGCCTACCTTTGCTATGATACGGACAAAAATTCTAAATTCCGCTGTAAATCCTACGGGGAAAGGGACTACACTATTCTATGACATCATCTGACATGTGCATGACTGTATAGCGTGTATATGACTAGTATGAGGTCCCTACTGCCAGTTTTCACCATCCATATTGAGGAATTCTACACGTAGAAATACGTTTCATTCGTCGCCAACACAAACAAAAGAGACTTGGAAAGACCTGTACTCAACTGCACTGGCAATATCATTGTGACTGGTCATTTCTACGCCCAGGCAATTCCCCAACTGTTGACGACGCAGTCGATTGATTTTCAATCGTCCTGGAGCAAACCTTCCAGCACCACCTCGCTGATTTTTCCACCCATTCTTGTCGGTCAAACACATGCACATCGTCTGTGACATCCAATCCACCCTGGGTGTCGACTGTCCTCGTATCTGCGGTGAAACGTAAACGAGACCTCTTCAGTGTCAGCCGAAAATTTCCAACACCTGTCAATATGGAGGCCTACCGAGTTCAACGCAACTTTGTCAAATACCTATCCCGTAAAACCTACCGCTCTTACATCAGCTCCCTCTCTGCAACAATCTCATCACCCAATCGTCCTTCTCTCTATCAGTTCATTCGCACCCAGCGTCCCAGTGTCTCTCGCGCCCCAATTCAGTGCTTGATTGATCCTGATGGCAACCGTCAGTCTGAGGCAAAGTCCATTGCGGACACTCTGAACAAACAGTTTGTCTCTCCCGGCCTTCCCGACGATCCGAACTGGGTTATCCCGCCCCTGCACCCAGCTCCAGAGCTGCGCGCTCCACTTCTGGAGGTCTTTACAACAACTGGTGTGGTCCGCAAACAACTGAAACGTCTTAAGAGCTGCAAGTCTCCTGGAAAAGACGGTATTCCAAATGAAGTCCTTAAACTGCTGGTGCCTTCCTTGTCGTATCCCCTGTGCTTGCTCTTCAACTTGTCATATCGTGCAGGAGTCTTCCCATCTGCGTGGAAATCTGCTATTGTTGTCCCGATCTTTAAGAAAGGACAACGCTCCCAAGCTGTTAATTACAGGCCCATCTCCCTCCTACCAACTATATCCACGGTCTGTGAACGCATCTTCTATAAATCTCTCTAACACCATGTCACCCCTGCCCTCTCCTCTGCACAATCCGGCTTCTGTCGTGGCGACTCAACTACTTTGCAATTGACACGCTTAATCCAGGATATTTACGGACATCGTAACCTGAAGAAGCATGTAGGTCTTGTCTTTTTTGATCTGTCAAAAGCGTTTGATACAGTCTGGCATCGAGGCCTACTTGCAAAGCTTGAGCACATTTTTCTAGTACGTGGTACAGCTCTGCAGTGGCTGTCGTCATATTTGTCGTCCCGTCATCAAACTGTCCGTGTCGCTGCTTCCTTGTCCGATCCTTTACCTGTAGTGTCTGGTGTTCCACAGGGGTCCATACTGGGTCCACTCCTTTTCCTAACTTATGTGAACGATCTGCCCTCTCTAGTTCCAGACGTCAGCCTTTTTGCTGATGACACTGCACTGTTGTGCTCTGACAGCTCGCCGTCCAACCTCGTTACCTCCATGCAGACCGGCATTAACTCCACCATAGCATGGATGGAAGCTTGGAAGCTGAGGCCCAACATCGCGAAGACCGAAGCAATGTTCATCAGCCCATCGCCGCCTACTCAGCCGTTGCACTTTCCAGGAGCCAATGCTAACGTTAAAATTGTTCATGAACACAAACACCTTGGTGTTATATTCGACAGCCATATGTCCTGGTCCCCACAGGTCCAGTCAGTATGCAAGCGAGCTAGCTCCTCCCTTGGCATGTTGCAACCTCACTGCCACCATTTAAATGACCATTGCCGAAAATTGTTCTTTACGTCGTATATTCTACCTATATTTGATTACTGTGACACAGCGTGGTGCGGTCTGTCTCAGGCCCTTGTTCAAACTCTGGAAATACACCAGCGTCTGCTTCTAAAAATCCTGTTTCGCAAAAATCAAACATTCTCCTCCCAACGTCTCTACAGTTTAGCTTCGGTATCTCCCCTCTTAGAGCGACACCAGCAACATCTTTGCATCCTTGTACACATGATCTTGTTAGACCTGGCTCCAAAACACTTTGCTAAGTATAACTGGTTTGTGTCCACCAGATCAACACGTCATTCCTTCTCATTACCCCGTGCCAATACCTCCCTGTTTCTGAAATCTCCTATCTTCTCTGCGTACACTCTCTGGTCTTCCCTGCCAACTAGCCTTAAAGCATGCACAGACATTAAGGAGTTCAAGCTTCAGCTTCTTCGTCCTAAATAATCTCACCATTTTCGTCATGCCTCCCCTTGCAGTACTCTCTTTGTTTCTCTCCTTATTATTCAGTTCGCCGTGGTTGGCTACCACCCGACTTCTCATATATATTGGCAGTCTTCTGACGAGCCAGGAGATGTTGAATTAATAATAATAATAATAATACGTATTCGCATGCAACGACGCAAATCCACACAATTCAGTAGACACTTTTTCTATCAAACGTTTTCTTTCCCTTCTCTTCAGGATAGTACAGGGAATGTTGGAAATTAGAAAAAACACATAACTATATAGATAATGAAAGAAAGAAAAAGTCAACACTTCAACATAGGTGTTAAAATGATTAAAGTGTTAAAACTCAAAAACAAACAGCTGCAAGTTGTAGACAAACACGTTGAACACATCAGGGAACACTTGTCACACTTTCACGAGGTGTGACACCAAACAACTGCAACGATAACACATTCTCCTTCTGTACACATAGTTCTGGATCTAGTTTACGAATATACAGAGCTTCTAACACAGCAAGATGTAACTTAGACCTTCCACGTGTCAAAATCGAAAAGATATCATCACTATACAACTTACGACAACTAGCACTGCCCGACAAATGACGCTTGATGGACGATGTCCGATCACTTAGCTCTAACACCTTCGACGCCTGCCGTTGTTCTCTTCCGTTGCTCATAGACACCGGAAGAGTTACCAGAAGCAAGGTGAAGAGACGGAGTACTGGGGATCTGAATACGTCGATAATGGAAGTGACAACAACGATCAACAAGAGGAAACGAGGAAGACCAAGAAGTGACACGAAAACGGCAATGAAATCAACAAAAACGGACATGAAATCAACGGACGTTGGAGGTGTGGACCGGAGCAACCAACCATACAAGCCCAACGGAAGAGAACAACGGCAGGCGTCGAAGGTGTTAGAGCTAAGTGATCGGACATCGTCCATCAAGCGTCATTTGTCGGGCAGTGCTATTTGTCGTAAGTTGTATAGTGATGATATCTTTTCGATTTTGACACGTGGAAGGTCTAAGTTACATCTTGCTGTGTTAGAAGCTCTGTATATTCGTAAACTAGATCCAGAACTATGTGTACAGAAGGAGAATGTGTTATCGTTGCAGTTGTTTGGTGTCACACCTCGTGAAAGTGTGACAAGTGTTCCCTGATGTGTTCAACGTGTTTGTCTACAACTTGCAGCTGTTTGTTTTTGAGTTTTAACACTTTAATCATTTTAACACCTATGTTGAAGTGTTGACTTTTTCTTTCTTTCATTCTCTATATAGTTATGTGTTTTTTCTAATTTCCAACATTCCCTGTACTATCCTGAAGAGAAGGGAAAGAAAACGTTTGATAGAAAAAGTGTCTACTGAATTGTGTGGATGTGCGTCGTTGCATGCGAATACGTATTACGAAACTGTTTTTCCCACCGCCTCCAAACTACTGTTTGAATAATAATAATAATAATAATAATAATAATAATACCAAGTAGTGGTTGCGACTTCGGCGATGACTTGTAAGAAAGGGTTTGCTCCCCACACCGGAGCTCGCGCTATTCCGCCGACTTTACTTGACACTTGACTGACTCACGACTGCCAACCAGAGCACACGAGAAGTCCATCGAACCTTCGACTCGGCAAACCTGCAAGAAAGCACCACTCCCTGCTCAATACACAGTGTTTCGGGGAATTCACCCCTCATCAGTTGAGCTTGAGTAGGCTGAGGAAGATTGTGCCTGAAGAGCACCACTTATATAGTGCTCTCCAGGCACAAACATCACCAGGGATACAAACTTACAGAGACGCTC